CACGTGGCAGTGCATGTCCTCTGGCGGCGCGCACCAATTGTAAGTTGGGCGTGGCCCCCCACAGGGGGGATACGAAAAATGAATGCATTTAGAAAAAAATGCCCCACAAATGTCAAAACAATAATCAAAAAATAGTCCCCAGATCATTTTTTCACTTTTTTTGAATATTCCTCCTGTAGAGGGACAAGCCCGACTTAACACCAACTCAGAGGACGAAGGACGGTACAAAAGACACTGTTCCGCCGTCGGGGACGCCTGCCCAAGGGCGGCTGGAAAGTTGATCCCCCGACGTGCCACCGTTGGGACACGAACTCTCCAGCAGGCTTCAGGCAGGCGTCCCTGACGGCGAAAAGAGGAACAGAAAACGGCTCGCGCGGATTTCTTAAATCGGCGCCGGAGTCCTGGCGCTGGAGGCACCGCCAGGGTGGGAGGCGAGGACCCAAGAGATCCGCGCGGATCTCCGAGAAAGTATGCTTATGCCGTTTTCTGGTCCTCGGGCGAGGGGATCTGGTTAGAAGTCACCCCCTCGCGCCGAGTCCGCCCCTCCCAGAGGAGGAGGAGGAGGAGGGAATATGATGAGGGGAAAGAGGAGGAGAAGGCGAAGGAGAAGGAGGAGGGAAGAGGAGGAGGGAGGAGGAGGAGGAGAAGGAGGAGGAGGAGGGAAGATAAAGAGGGAAAAGGACGAGGAGGAGGAGGAGGAGGAGGAAGGAGAAGGAGGAGGGAGGAGGAGGAGTAGGATGAGGGACGAGGAGGGGGGAAGAGTAGGAAGGAAGAGGAGGAGGATTCTGGGGCGCGCTGGCCCCGGTGTCCGTCGACGTGCCGCCCAGCAGGGCGAGGGCGAGGGGCCGCAGGAAGGTGACGTCGCGCATGAAGACGGCGCTCGTCTGCACCTTCGCGTGGAACACGCCCCACCGCAGGGCCTCAGGGAGGGTGGGGGCAAGAAGGCTCGGTGGCAACCCATGGGAGCCTCCCGTACCATCTTGTCGGCTCTTGCGAATCGACGCTAATCGACGCTAGTCGACGCTAATCTACGCCAGCTCGACGCTGATCGAAGCTGAATCGGCCCTATCTCGTCGACTCCCAGACGCAGTTGGGGGGGGCTGAAGGTAGAGTCGGCCCGTATCATAAGGATGCGTGATAAGGATGCACGGGCCTTGGACTGCCATCTCGAAGCTTTTCGAGCGGGGCGCGGCCAGCGAAAGCGGCCAAGGATGGACCGAGGAGGCAAGGATGCAGGGGTATCCTTGGAAAGGGTGCCCATCCTTACCACACGGGTCGACTGAACGGCAGGTTCATGTCGTGCCAACCCCGCGTCGGTTTCTTACACCGCGTGGATCGTCCGGGCTTGCACGATCGGCAGCTTCCGAAACGCAAGATCGCACCACACCAACAGACTCTGGGTCGCTTCAACGTGGAACGCCCGCGCTGGGGTCGCCGCTGGCCGACAAGACGCGAACCCACCGTACGCGCCGGTCGTAAGAAGTGAGTAAAAACACGAAGCAGGAAACCATATCAAGTAGATGGGGTTCAGGCCCTCCCGGAGAATAACAGAACACAGCAAAAGCGGATCGGCTTTTGAAGCAGGATGCATCTTGAAGTAGATTGGAATCTGGAAATCCAAACATACCTACGTTCAACGACCGGCGTGTGCAGGCTGCTGAATAAGCGTGGGGGGGGGGTGATCGCGTGGGGGAGTAGGAGATGGGCGGCTCGTCGTCGTGCTTGGCGATCTTGGATCGCTCGAGGGGCTGGGCTGTGGGCGTGGGTAGTGGCCTCCCAGGTGGGGTCCGAGAAGATGGGCTCGGAGAATCGCACCGCATCGCCGATGTATCGGCTCGATGCGGCTCGATGCGGAGCCCGACTTTCTCCACGCCGACGTCGCCGATGCATCGCAGCAGTCCCTGATGCACCGACGATGCACCGACGATGCACCGCCGATGCATCGGCGATGCATCTGCGATGCGGCGCGGTCCTCCGACCCCATCTACTCGGACCCCATCTGGGAGGCCCAGAGCGGGGGGGCCAGAGCTGGCCGTCGGTCGGGGTGATCATTGGCAGCCATCTGGAGCACCGAGACTGCTACCTTACGGGCCCAGACCACCCCGCGTCGTGACCAACATGCGACGGGAGGTGTTCTGCTTACTTTCGGCCTCTTGGGGCCCTTACCGAGCCTCGGGAGCATCCAGACCACAACTCAGGATAGAAATCCCTGGAGACTGGGTCGAGACTTCTGCGGGGCCGACCTCGTGAGCGAATCGTGACGTCGGGGGTCCACGGACCTCTCCTGCGGTGCGCTCTGGCCAGGGATTCGAAGAGGAGCCAACCGTGTCCGCGAGGGCTCTCCAGGACGAGCAGCAGCACCGGTCTCGTTTCCTCCTCCGAGGGGCCGTCTGGTGGAGGTGGTTGTCGTGGGAGTGCGCGAAGGAGGACGGGTGCAGCTTCACGTGCTCGTTCGTGAAGGCGGCCACGTACTGCGGCCTGTTCTCCGTCGCGACCCTGGGCGGGTCCACCCTGCACACGTTCGGGAAGAGGCCGGCCAGCAGCAGAGCCGAGGAAATGGCCCAGCGCTGCGGCAGCGGCTTGGGCCGGTCGGACACGATCCCAAGATCCTCTCGGGGGTGGGCAGAACCCTCTCTGGCACATCCTGGACGCCGCAAGCGATGCGTTGTCAGACAGTGCAGTGACCTCGGAATCCCTGAAAATCTCACTGCACAGTTCGTCACCACACGCTCACGGGACCTCGGAAGCCCCAATAGCCCGAGACGCCCTCGGAGAACGACCCACGGCCCGAAACGGTGCGGTCACCCTGGATCTCCACTGACTCAACACACGGTGTGGTCACAAAGATCCGCTTGGTGGGGCCCCCGATGGACAGAGCACCGTTTCATGAAGAAGGCCCAAAAGCCCGCTGGACGCAGAGCCGCAACAAGTGGTGGCGGTTTCATCCCCTCGCGAGAGCCCCACGGGCGGATTCGCTAATCGACTTGGCAGGGTGAGGCTCAAATCAATCGCCGATCCTTGAGGGACTCGGAGAGGTCCTTGCGCAGCCGATGGATCTGCTCCATGGTCCCCGCCGCGAGCCAGTGCTGCTTGCATATCCTCGGGAGCGGCCAAGAGGGGGGTGTCCAAGAGGGGGGGGTGCAAATCATGACCGGCGGCATGTGCGCGGCCCAGCGGGGGGGCCAGGGACGTAATGAAATAAGAAGAGGCGCCATGAAATCTGGAGAAATATCATGGCCCACGCCATGATATCCACCCCCCCCCTAATCATCACCCCCCTCTTTTCCGCCCCCGATATCCTCTCGGCCGCACCGTTCTTCTTCGCCTGGAGCCACATGCGGTAGGCCTCGCAGATCATGGCGTGGTCGGAGGGCTCCTTATCGTTGAACAGAGGCTTCTGGGCGGCCCTCGCTTCCGCCTCGGGGCCCCAGGACACACAAATAAATACACACAAATAGAAGGATCCCCCATATTTTCCCATATGTTCTGGGTTTTTGTCTTCCCCCCCACTTCCCATATTTTCCCATATTTTCTGGGAAATCGAGGATTAATTGTGTCTGTGTGGTTCTGTTCCTCCTGACTCTAGGCGTGAAGAAAACGGTCCCCGAGGGAAACGGGTCCTGGACCCCAGGGCCCCGGGGCACTCCTCCAGGACTGGGGCTTCACCCTGAGTAAGTTTTTTGACCATCGTCCTGGGGCCCTGCTGTGACTTGCGCTTGCGCTTGCCGGGCCGTCCCACGCCTCTCTTTATGGCTGCTCGTCATTGCTCTGTGCCCAAGGTCCTTTGGCACTGACGCAGCTTGCAACTGGAGGTCTTCCAGAAGACGAAAGGACTGGCCGAACCGGCACTGGACAAACCAAAAGCCGATACCGCTACTCCCCAGACATCTCCCGGGGTGCGTTCTGACCAGAGCCTCGAGGCGAATCTAGCTGCGGCGACGAGGGCCTCCCATGAGGCCCAAAAGGGGGAAAACGAGGGCAGGATAGCGGTGCGTAGGGGTACCTTTTCTTTCTCCGAGTTGCTGGCAACAAAACTGTTTGCGCTTGCGGCACGGAGTCCCGCCCAATCCCCACGGCACCCCCTGAGCGACGGGAGCCCGAGGAGCCCAAAGACGGCGACCAGTATCCCATATGTGCAGAAGAAACCAAAAGGTGCCGATACCGCTACTTCCCGGATCTCGCCCGGGGTGCGTTCTGACCAGAATTTCGAGGCGAATCCAGCGGTGGCGACGAGGGCCTCCCGAGAGGCCGAAAGCGGGGAAAACTGGCGAAGGGCCGCGGTATGGACCCCATTCCTCCTCTGGGGTACCAGGAGCAGCTCCGCTCGGAGCCCTCTCGCGTCGCGGCGGGCCTTCTTGTAGTCCTGGAAGGGCACGACCAGCGGGGACTTGCCGTTGGAAAGCGTGGCCGCCACTGTGAGCACGTCCTCGAAGGGGCCGCCCCCGAGGAGCGCGCCGTAGATGAGCATCTTGCCGATGCGGACCTCGCAGGGCAGCCGGGCCAGGATGCGGCCCAGCGGCCGCACCCGGTAGACCACGTCCTCTCGGGCGGCGCCGGCTACGGTCATCGTGGTAGTATCAACCCGTATCATAAGGACGCACAATCGGATGCAACTACTGAGTGGGAGGTATTCGTCGGAAGGATGAAGGGGAGTTAAGCCCCAATGGGGCGCTGTTGCGCCAGATTGGGCCTCGCATTAAGCGGGACTAAGCCGGATAGGCGGGGGCGGAACTAAGCCAGAGTAGGCAAGCCGGGCTTCGGACCAGGGCGAAATCAGAACTTGACCTCCCAGGAGTTGCATCCGAGAGGATGCAAGGGCCTTGAAGGCCGTTCCGAGGCTACGCGAGCGGGGCGCGGCCAACGAACATGGCCAAGGATGGACCGAGGAGGCAAGGATGGATGCAGGGGTACCCATCGGGGAAATTGCCCATCCTTGCTGCGCGGGTCGACGGCACCGAACCGAAACCCAAATACGAAGCGACGGGGGCTCTGCTGGCCGCGGAGAGCCTCGGCCACGAGCACGCCCCCCGACCTGGACCCGAAGAGCGGCCCGGAGACCAGAAACGCTCCTGAGCCCAAGGTGGTCCTTACTACTGCAACGTCACAACTGCATCCGCACTCAAGCCATCGATAGGCCCAAGACCCGTTCAGACCCTGCGATCCAAGCTTGGCGATGTCTTCGCACCGGGGGTCGTCCTGTTTCGGAACCAACGAGGCCTTCACGCATCGAACTGGTCCGAATAATCACGCATAGAACCGGTCCGGGTGATACCGCAGATGGGGTCAAAGACGTGGGTTGTGATTTGTGACGGCGATGGTCATATTTTTCGACGTCGGATCGCGGGGAAGGAAGAGGGGGTAAGGTGGAGAAGTGGCTTCCCCTGCCTCATCACTATCCTCCTGGCCGTATGGCTGATGCCGCAATTTCCGGTGTCACCCTGCGCTGTCTGGCCGCATTCTCCCTCTCGTTCCTCCTCCTCCTCCTCCTCCTCCTCCTCCTCCTCCTCCTCCTCCTCCTCCTCCTACTCCTTCTCCTCCTCCTTCTTCTCCTCCTCCTCCTTCTCCTCCTCCTCCCCCTCCCCCTCCCCCTTCCCCTCCCCCCTCCCCTCCCTCCTCCTCCTCTCCCCTCCCCTCCCCTCCCCCCTCCTCCCTCCCTCCTCTCCTCCTCTCCTCCTCCTCCTCCTCCTCCTCCTGGGGCCCTCTTGGGGGAATCCTGGGATCGAGCAACTGTTCTGGGCCAATGGCCGCCCCAGCTTCCCCTCCCTCCCCCGTTCTGGTATGTATATATATATATATATATACAGAAACACGCGCGCTTACTTTCTAGTCAACTCCGAAGACCTCACCCTCAACTCCCATGGCAGGCGATCAATCCCAGAGACCACGAACGCGGGAACGGGGTAGTCGGCATCGACGGCGCCGTCGGCGTCGGCGTCGTCGTCGGCGCTGGGACGAAGAGGCAAGGAAATAGCACAGAGCAGACAGATAAAGCAAGACAAATTCGCCTGCACAAGGGGCCAGAGGCGTGCTAAGATCTCCGGTAACAGCTTCAGAATGTTTCTACTTCGCGCTCGCGGGCCGCCCCCTGTGCATCCCCGGACGAAACGCACCGCGACGGACTCCAGGCGGACTCCGGGTCAGAGATGGCGGAACTCCCGGACGCGGTTCTGGCGGCTCCTGGATCGCTCCAGGAGCGCCCCAAAGAGGTTCCAGAGGGCTCCGAGTCGCACGCAGATCCGTCCCCAATGTCCGAGATGGCCTCCAGACGGCCCCACATGCCTCGAAAATGTCCAAGAAGCCTCCGAGACGCCTCCAAAAAGAGCCCCCAGGGGCAAAAATTGCTCCATTCCCATCGTGAACATGTTGTTTAACCAGATTCGCCTCCTGAGCCTCCGCAACGTCCAAGACGGGCCCAGACGCTCCGAAGATCACCCCCAGACAGCCGAAGTGACCCCCCAAAAGGCTCCAAAACAGCCCGAGAGAGCCTCAAGACGGCTCCAGGAGCCCCCTAGACTGGCCAAGACGGGCTCAGGATGGCGCCAAAAGAGACCCAGAGCATGAACCAGAACGGACATTTCGAACCTTCGGGCCCCTGACGCTCCGAGGAAGCTCCCCGAAGCTTCCAAGAGGCCCCAAGAAGCTCCGAACGAGCCCCCTGAGAGCCTCGAAACGCTCCCAGGAAGACCCCTGGAGACCCCCCAGAGACAGAACAACTCCCTTCAAAACGCCTTCGAGAAACCTCCCACGAGTCTCCATCAGCAATCCGAGTGGCCTCGGACAAACACACAATCCAGGCACAATGGTTGCATAGGCCGCCAGGCTCCACGCTCTCACGCCAATAGAGCTCCAAGATGGCTTTCGCCTCTTCTTCCGTCTCCTCCTCCTCCTCCTCCTCCTCCTCCTCCTCCTCCTGCTCCTCCTCCTCCTCCTCCTTTCCGAAAGCCTCGGACACACAACCTTCGCACGGTGTCGGGAAGGGCCGAACACCACGGTACCAGGTCCTACGGCCAGGTCCCACGGCCTTACCCCACGGTCTCACACTGCTATCCCAAGAAATTCCCCCCCGCCTCCGCGAAACCCCCAAGCCGCCTCCGGCTAACGGCAGACATGAGGCTGCAGGGGCCGGCGGAACGAGCGAAGCGATCCGCCGCCCCACCGGGTACGGCGTGTGAGATCCACCGCGTGGTCTTCAGTAGTGCTCTGTGTGAGTCCTCTCTCCGGCGCGCTTTCCACACCCGCCCCCTGCCTCTGGGCCCTCGCAACCCCTCCCAGGGCCTTATAAGGTCCTCCCCGCGCCTCGCTCACTCCGCCGGCCCAGGGGCCTCGGCTGCGGCTGGGGCGCCTCCTGGCCGCCATTTCCGTCCCAAGACGACCTCCCTTTCACGTGCTGCCAGCCTTCCAGGCGCCGCCAGGCGCTCTCAGAGGTCTCTCCAGGATCCCACTGGGGCGGCTTTTCGGACCTCCTGGGACTCTCCTGAGCTCATTTCCGCCCTCTTTCAGGTCACTTTGGGCCGTTTCAGATGCTCTTCCACATCTTTTCGAGCCACATACACCAGAACACCGCAACAAGCAAAAAATCGTAAACCACATCGGATTTTGATGATTCTGGCCTTATCGCACTTCTCCTTGCGCCTCTCTCGAAGCTCCCGAGCATCTCCGCTGTCTCTTGCGGCCATCTTAGAACTGGGGCATGCTCTCTACGACCGTCCTGACAGCCTCTGTGACCCATGTTGGCCCGTCTAGCCGCCTTCTTGACACCGTATTTCGCCCATCTGGGGCAAACCCCTCAGAGCTTCCAAGGGCTCGTCAAGGAGCCGCAAACAAACACGGACTGCTGTTTTTCCCAGCCTGGGTTCATCGTTCACCCCAAGTCGCCGCACTTGACCCATTACGGCTCCTTTGGGGCCCCTCCAGAGGTCCCCCTGGGACGAAACCGACATGGTTTTGCGCTTCTCCAGCCTCTCTGCAGCCGTCCTAGCCTCAGGGTCATGTGAAAGACACTCCTCGGCGCGCCTTCTTGGACAAACCCGACGGTTTTTTCCCGTTCCTCCAGCCTCTCTGCAGCCGTCCTGGCCTCAGGGTCATCCGACACAGAGCTCGCGGCTTCCAGTTCCTCCAGCCTCTCTGCGGCCGTCCTGGGCTCAGGGTCACACGACAGAGAGCTCGCTGAGGAGCCCAATGTCCTCTCCATAGAGCCCCACGAGGCCTCCCAGCGGAAGCACCAGCACCAGCACCAGAGCATCTCCTATTCGCGCGCGCGGAGCGGGCGCCGCTTCCACAGTCCCCAGGGTCCAGAAATAGTGGGGCGGCGGTGTCTGCCCCCTCAGGGGCGTTCAATTGAATAATACTTCAAAGGGCCCTGCGAGTCCGCCGACCCCTTGGGGTTCATCGGCGTGTGAAATGCTTCCCCCTTCCCAAACCCCTCCTGGGAGCCTGGTCTGGTCGAATTGGAGAGGGGGGTCTATCCGGGCTGGCGGGGGGTGGGGGGACTTTGCTCCAGAAATTCTGCCGGGGGTAGCATCGAGGGCGTCAAAACGGGCCACGAAGGCACCAAGAGACCTCCAAGACGGTCGAAGAGGGCCCCGAGTCGCCGAAGCATCGCCCTAAGACGCCCAAGATGGCCTCCAGACGGCCCAATATGCCCCCAAGACGCCCCAAGAGGCTTCGAAGAGGCCTCCCAAGAGGGCCCCAAGAGGCCAACATCGTTGATGTTCATTTGTGCTTGTTCAAAGATGTTGTGGCTTTCTCGCCTGTTCGGGCTGCCGACGCTCGAAGACGGCCCAAGAGGCGGGGCACCCCCAGAACGCCCCTCAAAGAGGCGCGGCGGATGGAAAGCAAATTCGGACCCGAACGTTTCCCCAGATCAGAGGCGACAAAAACCACCGCCACCGAGAACCGATCAGGCAGTGGCACGCCTGATACTGGGTAACGCTCGGGCGTGCCACCCGCCCAGGGGTCTGGGCCACCCCCGATGGGTTCGTTCTCGGGACCCTCTGGCAAGGTAACCAAACGCAAGCCTCCGAGGACCCCCGAAGATGGCAGAAGACCTTTGCGCCGAATCTGGAATGAACAAGACGGGTCCTGAGGAAAACGGGTGCTGGACCCTGAGGCCTTCCCCAGGATTAAGTCTTCATCCTGAACCGTTTCGTGAAAGCCCCAGGCCCCGTGGAGGGCACAGGAAGGCCGAAAACTGACAGAAATCAGGAGCGTGTTTCATTACTGTTGGCGATAACGGGCGTTATGGGGGGGGGCGGGGGAACAGGAGCCTGCTTTTGATGGCCGTCATAGGCCCCGCCCCCCGCCCAGATGACGTCCCGTTCCGCGCCGACGGCGGTCAAGAATGCCTAGGAGTGGCCGAAGCCAACTAGGAGCAGCATTTAAGTGGCGATCTGCCCTACAACGCCTGTGTACACCACAGTGCTCGCGTGCACCATGCCGCGCGTGTATACCACAGCGCCTGCGTACACTGAAACAGCCACGTGCAACGCAGAGCCTGTGTACACCAACGCTTGCGACCACAGCGCCGGCGTACACCGCAGCGAATGTGTACACCGCAGCAACCATGTGCAACACAACGCCTGTGTACACCACAGCGTTTGCGTGCACCGCAGCGCCCGTGCACGCCACGGCGCCTGCCTACACCACAGCATCCGCGTGCAACGCAGCGCTGGTGTACACCACAGCGCCTGCGTGCAACGGACACGTAGAGTAGGCATGTCGGTGAGGTTCTGCTGTGGACAAGAAGCACCACGCCAGGGAAGTGCTGATAATAGAATACGACGTTGTCCCCCGTTGTCCCCCCTTCCTCATCGTCCTTTTCCACCTCTTCCTCCTCTTCCTCCTCCTCCTCCTCCTCTTCCCTCACCCTTCCCCCCTGTCGTGCGGGTCGGCGCTGCAGCGCACGTGCGCATATCAGCGTGCACCGCAGAATGGTCGGTTAAATCAATCCACTTGGTTCTCGGACGGCCAATTCTGCTGGAGTTCCTGGACGCAAATGGGACGAGTTCGGATGATGCGGGAGGACTCGTAGATTCCGGCGGCGCTCCTTTTCCATAGGGATTCCTCTCCAAAGCATAGACAAAGGAAGTGTTTTCTGTGAAACCCACGGGCGCTCCATTTTGTCATAAGGGCCCCTTTTCTAAAATTCTATATGCAACAGTGCTCTGTTGCACACGGTTGCTGTGCGGCACACAGGCGCCGTCGTTTGCACAAGCGCTGTAGTGCACGCAGGCATTGTGGTGTACAATGGTGCTGTGTTGCACACGGCTGATGTGGTGTACGCAGGCGCTGTGGTGTACACAAGCGCTGTGGTGCCCGCAGGCACTGTGGCTCACACACTGGCGTTGTCTTGCACGCGGCTCCTGTGGTGTATATAGGCGGTGTGGTGTACACAGGCGCTGTGGTGCACGCAGGCACTGCGCTGTACACAGGCGATGTGCAAATCGCCACCTACATGCTGCTACCACCCGTCCTCGGTCATTCCTAAGCATTCCCAGACGCCGCCGGCGCGAAACGTGACGTCATCGCCCCCCCCCCAGATGACGGCCGTCATCGGCAGGGAAAAAAGAGGCTCCAGCCAAGCCCACGCGCACGACGACGATGAGCGACGAGCGACGAGCGACGACGACGACCACTATGCGGACGCCTAAGCGGCTCCCGATGCGCACGGCGGCAGTGCCCGGAGCGCACTGGGGGGAGGCGTTACGTTACAGGGGGCGGGGGGGACTGGGGGCCTTAACGCGCGCTCTGCCCAAAGCAATGAAGAAACACGATCCAGCAGGGTAAGTTTCCCTGACCCATTTGCTTCATTCATGGCCAGTCCTGACGCCATGTATTTCTCACCACATCGACCCAGAGGTCTCGGCCCATTCTCCAGGACCAGCTTTTTTGTCCTGAGTCGATTCCGCCCGGGGGCCTGGAAAGGGTCCCAAGACCCAAATCATTCGATACAAAATTTTGTTGTTCAGTCGCGACCGGTAGCGACCCATCGGCACTCCAAATCGGTCGCGACCGATCACGACCGAGCGACTAATACCGGAATTGACAACAAAGCCGGGAGCGGCCCGTCTCGTCGGTCACGACATGAGGATTTCAGTAGTATCCAATGCGACTTCTTCACCGCGAGAGGAGGTTTTGGTCTGCGGGCAAGCAACCTCTCCTGGACCTCCTCCTGGGGTGCGTCTTGACCAAAATTCAGAGGCGGATCCAGTCGTGGTGACAGGAAGTTCCCCCAGAGACCCAAAACGACTCGATGCTGGGCCTGTTTTCCACCACCACCACCATAAGTTGGAGGGGGGAAGGAGGAGGAGGACGAGGAGGAGGAGGACGACGACGAGGAGGAGGAGGAGAAGGAGGTGAAGGAGGTGGAGGGGGAGGAGGAGGAGGAGGAGGTGAAGGAGATGGAGGAGGACCCCCTCCTCCTCCAACTTCGGGTGGTGGTGGTGGAAGACAGGCCCCTCACTCCATCCTCGGAGCTCGGAGCTCGGAGGGGGCCCTCCGCGGGGAGTCCTGGCCGTCCACGTCCACCTCGCCGCCCGCGCCGCCGGCGTCGCGGAGCCCCGGGGGCGCGAGGGCCCCCGCGACGCGGAGGCTCTGCAGCGCCTGCTCCACGCGGGCGCGCGGCGGCGGGTCCAGGGCCTCGTAGAAGATCGCGGGCGGCATGCCTCCCCGGGCGGCGCGCGGGGAGCTGCGGGCGCTCCGAGGGTCGAGGGCGCCTTGGTGGCCTCCCAGGAGGAGGAGGAGGAGGAGGAGGAGGAGGAGGGAGGAGGGGGAGGAGGCGGCCGTTGCTGCTTCTGCTCCCAGGGGCTGCTCGTCGCCACGGCTCGCAGCCTGACTGAAGGGGCCCTGGGACACACAAATAAATACACACAGATAAAAAGAGTCCCCATATTTTCCCCTATTGTCTGGGCTTCTGTCTTCCCCCCCACTGCCCATATTTTCCAATATTTTCTGGGAATCGACGATTAATTGTGTCTGTGTGTTTTTTCCCTCCTGACTGACTAACCACCAGACCGCCCGATCCCAAGCCGAAGGCCCGAATTTCGGGCTGGGGGGGTACGGCTTCATACGTGTTTCTGTTCAGTGTTCCCCGACCCCCCCCCCCACACAGGAAATGGAGGGCAAATCGGGGCCGTCGGGTTGGGGTGGGGTGCTCCGGAGGGCGGTGACAACCAGGGCGAGCTCTGGGGGTCGCTCCCGGGGCCCTCGCCGAGCCCTGGGGCCCTCGGAGAACGATGCGGGAGGGAAAGCGGGTCCGTGGGAGGGGGTCGGGACGTCCAGGGGTCGACGCCGTGACAAAATCAGGACGTCGGGGGCCTGGGTCTTGACAAACAGCAGTGCGGAAAGATGGTGCTGGCCGCTTCTGTTACTTATCTGGGGGCCGGTCCCTCGGCTCCAGAAGCCGCCACGAAATTACCAGGGACGAGAAGCCGGTCCAGGACGTCGGGTCTGTCGATCGGAGGGGGAAGCGACGGACCTCCCCGACCCTCCTCGATCCTCCCCGATCCTCCTCCCCCAGGCCCCTGACGGCCTGACTTCGCCACGGTGTGGAATCGCCGAGGTCTTCACCCTGTTCCCGCTGTCCCGTTGGTCCTCCCGGGTCGCTGCTGGACGGCCCCAGGGCCTGGCGAGGGCCCGCATCGTGATGTAGGAACCGCACGCCGTGCTTTTTTCGCCCAAACGCGAGGGGGTCCGGGAACCTCCTCGACCCGGCTGGGTCCGCCTCGATCCTCAGCCCTCCCCAGTCTGAAGTCGGGCCTGTCCCTCCACAGGATGAATACTCAAAAAAACTAACAAATACTATTCTTAAGTATTTTTGGTAGTAAAAAAGACTAAGTCTGGGGACGATCTTTTGATTATCTTCTCACATATTTGTTGCATTGTTTGACATTTTTTTACTTCTCGTCCAGAATCCGCCTGTACGGGGACATGCCCGACCTAACCCCAGTCCCCCCATCGGGCCTCCTCGACCGGGGAGGGGCCAGATCCAGGAGCACCAGGGCCGCTGGAGGACCGAGGAGCCTCGAGAAGGGAGAGGGCGTCGGGGAGGACCGGGGGAAGCCGGGGAAGGCAGGGGAGGGTCCAGGAGCATCGATAGAGGGTCGAGGAAGATCCACCAGTCTCGACCCCATACCCGCATCTTCGGCACTTCTTTTAGAGGCCTCCTAGATGGGGTCGCAGTAGACGGGGTCGGAGGATCGCGCCGCATCGCCGCTGCATCGGCGAGGCGTCGGCGAGGCATCGGCGAGGCATCGGCGAGGCATCGGCGATGCGTCGGCGATGCGTCGGCGTGGAAAAGTGGGCCCCGCATCGAGCCGCCTCACCGACGCGTCGCCGATGCCTCTCGGCGGTGCGGCGGAGCCCTCCCCGGCCCCACCTGCTCCGACCCGCAGCTGGGAGGCCCGGATCTCTTCAGAGCGTGAATTACCTACCCCGCTTTCGCTTCCAGGCAAAACCAAGTCATACCACGCGCCTCCTCGTCAAGCGGCCTGACCAGTACAGGCCGTAGTTTGGCATCGCTTGGTATCTCTTGGAAGCGAGGGTGGTCAAAAGCGAGGTAGGTTTGTTTGCCCCCTATCTCTGGCGTGCCCCGCGGGCGCGGAGGAGGCAGCCCCCAGGCGCCAAGGCCGCCAGCGGGGGGAGGATCGATCGGGGAGGCGCCTCGGCGTGCTGTTCCGCAGCGCCCGGGGAAGGGGAGTCCACCGCCTCTCGAGGCGATCCCCCACACTTGCCGTCGCTCGGACGTCCGGTTCCCGTGCACGTCTCGGTTTCGCGCATGTTTTTTTTGCTCGATGGTCCAGGATGCTCCTCGAGGGTCCTCGCCGAGAGAAACATGCACACGTCCGAGCGATGCCAAGCACACTACACTGAGACCCGTCCGGGCCGCGTTCTCGAGGGGGGCCCCTCCGCGGCGACGGATGCTGTCGAGAAGCCGCTTCCTCCTACCCCCTTCCTCCTCCATGACGAAATCCAATTAGTGGGTCCATGGACCCCTCCCAGGATTGTTCACGGCCCCAGGGTCTAGAAGGGGCTATACTTGGCGGCGAGAGAGGGGGGGAAATGGGAAGGAGAAGGCCTTCACAGAAGGCGGCGGGACTTCTCAGAAGCCCTCGCGCCTTCTGAGAAAATGTCTGTGTCTTCGGGGAAAGCTTAGAAAACTTGAGAAGGCTGGGGGAATTCTGAGACTTCCCGAGAAGGCCCGTCCCTTCTAACGTTCCCCCTTTGCTCGCCGCCGATCCAAAGAGACAGAGATTGAACAGTAAAAGCACACGGCACAGTCGACTGTTTCAATTCTCCCCCTCCCTCCCTCCACCCCTACCTGTCGAAAAATTGATCACAAAGCTGTCCACGGGTACGTTCTGACAGAATTTACGACGGGAATCCAGCCGCGGCGTCACGAATATCTTTCCAGAGGTGCAGAAAACGCCCAAAAGCATATGACCTCGAATCTCGATCCTCCCCCCTGAGATCCGACGTCGTGGAAAGCAGGACCGCGAAAAACATGGCCGGAGCCCTCGACCCTGCCTTTGCTGCAACATCCCTCGACAAAAATCGACCCGCGAGAACCCAAGGGGCCCGATACTCGGCGAAACGGCTCAGTGCAAAATTACCCCCCCCAAAAAAAGAAGCCAAGAGATCATGGCATCTCCTGCCCCTTTCCATCTCTCATCATCATCATCATCATCATCATCAGCAGCAGCAGCAGCAGCATCATCATCATCATCATCATCATCATCATCATCATCATCAGCATCATCATCATCATCAGCAGCATCATGATCAGCATCATCATCAGCAGCAGTAGCATCAGCATCAGCATCAGCATCAGCATCATCATGATCATCATCATGATCATCATCATCACGTCATCATCACCACCACCACAGCCAGATTCATCATCATCATCATCAACATCATCATCATCATCATCATCATCGTCGTCGTCGTCATCGTCGTCATCGCCGTCGTCGTCGCGACGTCATCACAACCATCAACCAAACATCATCAGCGTAATCATCAACGCAACCAGCCTCCTGCTCCTCATCCTCCTTCTCCTCCTCGACCCTTCATCCTCCTCCTCCTCATCATCACCATATCCATCTGATCGTCATCGCCATCGTTAAACATGGTCATCATCATCATCAGCATCACCACCATCACCATCATCACAATCATCATCACAATCATCACAAGCATCATCATCATGAGCAGCATCGGCATCATAATCGTCATCGCAATCGCCATCGCCATCGTCATCATCAGCATCAGCATCACCATCATCATGGTCATCATCACTAGCGTCATCATCACCACAATGAGCATCATCATCATCATCCTCCTCATCATCAACATCAGCATCAGAATCACACACATCATCACAATCACCATCACCATCATCACAAACACCATCCTCATCAGCATCACCATCATCAGCATCATCATAAGCAGCATCATCAGCATCATCACCATCAGCAACATCATCCACATCATCAGCATCAGCATCAGCGGCAGCATCATCATCATCACCACCACCACCATCATCATCATCACCATCATCATCCAAATCAGCATCATCATCAGCAGCAGCATCAGCATCATAATCAGCATCACCAAGCTCATCATCAGCATCACCTCATCCACATCAGCATCAGCATCAGCATCAGCATCAACATCAGCATCAGCATCATCGTCATGATCATCATCCTCATCATCATCAGCACCAGCATCATCATCATCATCATTCACAGCAGCATCAGCAGCAGCAGCATCAGCATCAGCAACATCAGCAACATCAGCAACATCAGCATCATCATCATCATCATCATCAGCATCAGCATCAGCATCAGCATCAGCATCATCATCATCATCATCATCATCATCATCATCACCGGCATCCCCTCCTCTACCCTCGTCCCCTTCTTCCCCCTCCCTCCCTCCTTCGCCCTCCCTCCCTCCTCCCTCTGCTTGTCGCCCTCAGGGCGCCCCGGCTCAGCAGCCCGAGCATCAGCTCCGACAGCGCGGTGCGCAGCAGCTCCTGGGGCAGGCCGCGAGGGCCGGGCAGGGGGGGGGGGCGCGGAGGCGGGCGTGGGCGAGGGCGCGGAGCGGGGACGGCCATCGATCTCCTCCTCCTCCTCCTCCTCCTCCTCCTCCCTGCCTCAAGCCGCTTGGGCTCGAGCAAGTGGGTCTGAGGCCTGGGGGCCTGCTGCACACTCACTTCCGCCCGAGTCCTTCCCTGTACCTCAGAGTGGTGCTTGAGTGTGACCACTTGCATCTTTGACACCTTTGCAAGTGTTCGCGAAAGCAGGGATGTCTCCGCAACGTGCCAAGGCATGGACACGCTGCGGCAACTGCCAGAAGTGCGAGTACAATGACAAGCTTCGTTCCAACGGCATGATGTGCCCAGGATGCAATCACCAGGTCAAGAAGCTGTTCAAACCCCGCGGCCCTCGTCATGTGCACTTCGAGGACGAGTCCGACTGGGAGAACAGCAGCGTAGGTAGCAACCGCTCGCGCGACAAGGGGCGCAAGAGCAAGGACCTGGCGATCACGCAGCTGGACGAGTTGTTGGAGAAGGCCCTGCGCACGGCGCAGGACGAGGAGATGAGGACGGCGCTCGCCGCCCAGCGGAGCCGCCTCGCCACGCTCCCCGCCGCGTCTCGTGAGACGGCGGCCGAGTCGGTCAAGCGGGCTGACGGGGCGTGGCGGGCGGCCAGCCATCGGCACGAGCAGCTGGTGGCGCAGGTGCTGAGACTCCGCTCCCAGCGCCAGGCCGCCGAGGCCAAGGAGCAGAGCGCGGCCCAGGAGCTGGTCCTCGCAGAGCGGGCCAAGAAGGACGCCGCCGCAGCCCTGGCCAAGGCGGAGGGCATCCGCGGCTCGGAGGGGCCAGCGTCCTGCGCTCACGGCTCGATGCCGACCATCAGCATTCAGATGAGAACCGAGGTCTTTGACAAGTTCGAGGACTGGGAGTGCGAGGAGAGCGACAAACAGGCGCTGCGTCAGCTCAAGTCAGAGCTGGAGACGTGGAAGCAGAGCTTCGAGTCCAAGGGCGCGGAGCTCAAGCAGTTCCTTGAGAAGGTTGCCAAGGCCGAGCAGGAGGTCCTTGGCAGGATGCAGAAGAAGCGCAAGACCACCGAGGGCGCCACAGCTGAAGTCCCAGGTGAAGGCACTGGCGGCGGAGCCTCTAGTGGCAGCTCGTCACGAGCACCTGCGCCGACGGAGACAGCACAGCCCACGGCACAGATCTCGGAGAGCGAGCTCAAGGCCGGGGCCGACAGGCTGTCGCAGGAGCGGTTCAAGTCGGTGTCGGCGGCCAAGGCGCCTGGCAAGGGCAACGCAGCCGTGCCGAAGGCCGCGGCCAAGCCAGGAGGCACGCCTGGTTCTTGACTAGGATCTGCAAGAACCGAAGCTGTCGCGGCGACTCAGCAGCATGAGGGAGCCAGTGGTTCTACTGGAACAACTACCACTACAATGATGGTTTTCTTTTTTTCTCGAACGTCACATGCATGGGCGACAAGGCCTGGAACTTCATCGAGGCAATGTCGCCCAGTCATGATCTCCTAGCCGCGCGCGAGACACACATTGGGAAGCAAGATGTGAGCAAGTGGTCTGCCCGTGCTCGTCAGGCATCGTTGAAGCTGTTCGCGAACCCCGCCAGGCCGAAGTCCAAGTGGATCAAGCCCGACGAGCAGATGGACAGTCACAGCAATGAAGGGGGCGAGTGGCTACTCACTCGCAATCATCGACCTGTTCAATTACTGGCTGAAGCACGTGCTGCAAGTGGGCTACGCGCTGAGCGTGGCAACATGTTCGATGGGTTCGTGCCGTGCGTCGTCGCTGACATGAGAGGTTTTTCTCTGGCCATCTTTTGCTTCTACGGGCACTCAGGCATAGGATTTCGTGATGCCAACGTTGGCCGACTCAAGAAGCTAGGTTGTCTGCTGCGGTCTTTACAGATTCCATGGATCCTAGCTGCAGACTGGAACCTGCAACCAGAGAGCGTAGTTCGGTCAGGATGGTTGGAGCGTGTTGGAGGCCAGATTGTACGCTCCGATGCACAGTTCACTTGCACGCCAGCAGCTGGGAAAGCACCCAGTCATTTGGATTATCTGATAGTGAGTCACGCGGCACGTGCATATGTTCGCCACGTTCTGCCCGTCGTCGCCGTGCCATGGAAACCACATATCGGTCTCAGTATAGAGTTAGTGTCCCAAGGCGCCCAGTTGTATACTAGGTCCCTTGATCTCCCTGCTCGCCTTCCTCAGGTCTGCAAGCCCCTCTGTCAGGCAACGCCTGGATCCATATCCAGTTTGGCCAAGACCAAGAGGGCGTTTTCAAGGTTGGAGGCGAAGCAGAAACGCGATGCGCGTTTTAAAGATTGGTTTTCCTCGGGGCTGGGTCTCGACGGCGGGGCGGAAGATAATCGCGGCTCGGGTCTTGGTCTCGTTCCCCCCCTGCCTCCCCAACCCTCGGCCCACAGCTACGTGGGCACCCACTGCGAGGACGGTGGTGAACCCGTTTGCTCAGGCGACGAGCGGGAGGGCTGGTCGGAGGACGACCCCTGGGCGGGCGAGACCGTTTTCAGACCCGCGGCCGCCCCGCCTCTCTCGTGCCCCGAGGCTACTTTCACAGCCGGACAGTCAGAGGATGTCAATTCAGTCCCGCGTGAGCCGTCGGATTTCCCCAACCCAGCCGCCCAGGGGTCATCTTCCGAGGAGCAGTCCGACACGCTAAAGTGGCAGCCCGAATCCCGCCAGCCCTTTGGGCGTGAGTGGTTTAGAGAGCCCGCTCTGTCCTCTACCCCCCTTCTTCCCCTTCGGGGAGGGGTTTACCCCTCCCCCCACCCCCTGCCCCTGGGCCTGGAGAGGGCGGGCCGCAGGTCGTCAGGGGAGTCTTTTTCGACCCCTGGGAGGGCCAAAAAACGACGACCCTCGCGAGGATTCTGGCCCCGACGGGGGGGCCGAGTTTGGCCCCTCTGCTCTTCTTTGAAGCCAAAATCATTGATTTTGCTACGGTGTTGGCCCCATTTGGGCCTTCTGAGGGGGCCGCGTTCCTCGCCCTTCTTAGCAAAATCATTGATTTTACGAAGGTGGTGGGCTCATTTTGTCCTTCTCAGGGGTCAGCGCTCATTTGCGCTTCTGAAGAGATCGCCAGAGGCCCCAAGATGGCCCCAAGAGGCCCCCAGGAGGCCCCCAAGAGGCCCCCAAGAGGCCCCCAAGAGGCCCCAAAGAAGCCCCCAAGAGGCCTCCAAGAGGCCCCCGAGAGGCCCCAAGAGGCCCCAAGAGGCCCCCAAGAGGCCCCCAAGAGGCCCCCAAGAGGCCCCCAAGAGGCCCCAAGAGGCCCAAGAGGCCCCCAAGAGGCCCCACGAGGAGCCCGAACGACTCACACCAGGACGAGGGGCCCGAACGACTCACACCACGAAGAGCCCGAACGACTCACACCACATGGAGTGGCCCGAACGACTCGCACCAGGACGAGCCGCCCGAACGACTCACACCATGAGGAGCCCGAACGACTCACACCACGACGCGGGCCTCGAACGACTCACACCACGAGGAGCCCGAACGAGTCACACCGGGATGACGGGCAGCGCTCATACAAGCCCCCCACGATGGCCCCCAGAGGTCCACCAGATGGCCCCTAGAGTTCCCCAGATGGCCCACAAGAGGTCCCCAGGAGGCACCACGAGGCCTCATGTTTCGCAAGAGTTGCTGTTTTGAGATGGGCTGGTGGGGATACGCGAAGCGTGAAGAATTTCACATCCCTAGCAGTACTTGGCATGAGCAAAGACAGAGCATCGGATTCACCCCTGCCTGCCTGCCCCCCCGCTCCTGCGATTGCTAGGACCATAGCCTACCACCTCGGCTCAAACGATTCGGCTGTGTTGAGCGGCTTGTGCGCCAGCTGGATTCGCACGGTCGAGGCATCCATTCACTCGCACCATAAGCAGGTCTTCTCTGGAGTGTCACGTGGGTCGGCACCTCAGTTCCAAGTAGCTTGTGCCCAGCAGGCTACACCGAGTAGAGTCGCACCGCTACGTGATCGTGTCTGCAGTTGGTGGACACGGGCGAGCACAGCGATCAGTAGTATTACACGACATCTTCGGAGGACAGGAGGTGTCAGGCAATTGAATATTTTGTACGAAGCAGGTCGACGGTTGTTGGATGATCTCCCTGACCGAGCATTTCAGCTTGTCCGCCCGACCGATCATTATCCTTGGGAGTACTGGACCCACTTGCTGGCACATCTTAGTGACAGCGAACTGGCTGTTCTGGATGCTAGCTCTCAGGCGATCGAGAAGTTGGCGAATCGAAGTCAGAGGCGGGCGCTCGGTCAGGCGATGGCAGAGTTTCGGGAGTGGGCAGAGACGGCGCCAGCCATTGGGATCCCCCACAAGAAGTCGAAGGATCCCATGCCCGAGGTTAAGGATGTCATCGTCGACGGTCAGGCCCTACTGCCTCCGAGAGACGTTCTTGACCACAAGAGTCGTGAATGGGAGAAGGTGTGGGCCCCCGCGTGTCGTACGGGCGACGGGCCCAGCATCGAGCCCGCAGCAAAAAAGGAACTCTTTTGTGACATCCGCACGAGAGTTCAATATGAGTCGTTGCCACGGCTGACCGTGCAGGACCTTCGTGAAGCCTTGAAACACATCAAGACAACGGCAGCCATGCGGGTGGACCGCTTGAGTTCGCATGATCTCCTTCGGCTACCCGATGAGGCTTTGCAGGGGTTGTCGGCTTTGCTCAGTGTATGCGAGGCCACTCAGACATGGCCACACCAGATGTTACTTACCATTGGGACTCTTCTACCAAAGAAAGTATCAGGTGACAGAATCATCGGGATGCTTCCACACCTCTCGCGTGTGTGGTCGCAAGCACGGGAGTCATACGTGAAGCAGTGGACCACTGAGTGTGAAGCTCACTGGGATGCAGCGATCAAAGGAAATGGGGCGATTCGTGAAGTTTTCTTGAGAGCGATCGACGAAGAAGTTGCGGCGAGGCCCATGATCAGTCACGGGAACGGTCTGCTGGACACAGGCCAGTTCTACGACGCGATCGGATGGCTGGTGGTAGGCAGGGCTGCGATGCGGCTCGACTTCCCAGCCGAGGTATTAGGTCTGGAGTTGATGCAGTGCATGGCGGCGCGGTGTTTGCGCCAGTCAGGCACGTACTCGGAGCCTTTCGCTCCCCTGCGTTCTATTGTCCACGGCCTCCGCGGAGGCACACGATTCGCCGAGTGCGCGACGTACCACATCAACCATCGGCTCACGACGGTGCACGTGGGTATGTCTCAGCGGCTGTGGATTGATGACCTCAGCCAGTCGATTAAGGGTACCAGCGAGACGATGCGCAACAAGCTCGCACGGTGCCTAGTGGACACATGCAGGTCGATGCAGCGCGCGGGCTTGTCCATCTCGCCGAAGAGTGTTGTTGTGTGCACGAAGCTGAACGACACCAAAGCCATTGTGAGGAGAGTTCGCGCCCATGGATTTGCGGTCAAAGCTGCGCAGCAGGCGCCATATCTGGGGGCCGGCCTCGGCGGCGGGTCTCGTCACGCACGTGCCAGTCGGACAGCTAGGCAAGCTAAGCACAAAGCCATGCACAAGCGAGTTATCAAATATGCCAGAGCCACTCGCCGGCATGGTCTTACGTCAAGGTTGGAGCAGCAGGGAGCCCAAGCGGCTGGGGCCTACGGGCACCAGCTCCACGGCGCATCCGGAGACGTCATGACACAACTACGCAGGAAACTCGGCAACGCTATTGGACCCAAGATGCCAGGTCGATGTCTCACGACGCTGATTGATGTGAAAGCAGTTGGCAGGGACCCAGCGTGCAAACTTCCTCGCGAGTGTCTTCGTCTCTGGCTTACCTGCTGGGTGCGCCAGCCAAATATCCATGACAGCATCGTGCTCACGTGGCCTGGGCTGGTTCAAGAGATGAGAGCTATGCCGCCGAGTCAGAGGACACGGCACATCCGCGGCCCTCAGGGTGCAGTGATCTGCTACCTTCTGCAAGCGAGGTGGCGACCATATTCACCGACAAGCTGGGCCACGCCGACAGCGGATGACGGTCAAGAGCACACATGGCAGTTTTCGGTTGACAATCTCACGGGCATTGAGCACTTAGACGTACCCGACGCCTTTTTCGACGAGTATGAGCGTACTGTGCAGAATGGGTTGTGGACACGTGCAGCTCCACACCATGACAAAGCAGGACTTGAAGGTGGGGCCTGCGATCAGTCGTACCGTCGTCTGCTACGGCACCTTGAGGGCGTTCCTGGTGGTCGACGACTTGCAGGCCTTATGCTTGCGATCGCCGTCGGGGCCACGTGGCCTCGCACACGGCGGCGGGAGCGGGCCAAGCAGGAGATGTCCCAGGATTGCCTTCGGTGCCGTGGTCATCGTGAGACGGCCTTTCATCGTGCGTGGGCCTGCGAAGGCCGATGCAAGCATGACATATATCAGATCACGGAAAAGTATGTTGGAGAAGCCTACACTCAAGGGGAGGCTGACGCCTGCTTCTGAACCAGAGGCCTCATCCCAGCAGCGTGGCTGTCCGTGGAGGCTCCGCAGGAGCATGAGAGTTGGAGTACCACTGGCGTTGACTTCGTCGAGGGGTGCTTCGGCGAGGGCACGCGCGAGAAGCCGCTCTACATCTTCGGCGACGCCAGCGGGGGGCGCGAGAGTCGTGACCCGCGGCTTCGGCGTGTGGGATGCGGACTGGCCTGCCTGCACGACATCGCCGACGACATGGAGTTGTTCCTTGGTGTGTGGGGAGGCCTGCCAGGCCCTCGGCAGACGGTACCAAGAGGAGAGTTTCTTGCTTTCTACTTGGCCCTGAGGGGCAGCCGTGGGCATCTCATCTACACGACCGACAACGAAAGTGTTAGCATCGGATGGTACAATCATCGGTATCGTAGCCCTGAGGGACCAGACAACGATTTGTGGTGGCAGATCGGAGCTCATCTCGACCAGCATCCAGGACTCCAGTGCACGATGCTCTTCGTCCACTCGCACCTCGAGGCCGCTGACGTGCTGCGAGGCAAGGCGCCTCGCCTGCTGGTGGAGGGCAACGCTTTGGCTGACGCCTTCGCCGCGCGCGGATGTGACGGCGCAAGAGTGCCTGAAATGAGTCGTGCCCGTGTCCAGGCCACTGAGCATAAAGCGTTTATGGTTAGAATGAGGATTCTCCAGAGCACTATTGAGACGTTAGCAGTTGAGCAAGAGCATGAGAAGAGCCTCGGTAGGAAAGCTGCCCGCCGTGTCCAACCTAGGCCTCCTGCCCCCTCTGTCTGCGCAATGTTCTCGTCTCAGCATGCCTTGTGTGGGTCTAGTGCCGCCAAGTGTAGCAGATGTAAGGGCACAGCCATCAAAGCGAAGCGTAAGGACTGGCTAACCTCCTTTTGTTTTGACTTAATTTGTGTGGACGGGATTTTGTTCGATCCCCCCCCTGGGCGGCGGGTGCACATCGCAGGGGGTTTTCCCGATCCGACACATAATTTGAGGCATCACGCGGGATTGGGAGTCTGGTTCTGTTCAGCGTGCGGGTTCTATGCAACTCAGCAGCTTAAGGAACTAGCAAAGCCGTGTGTTGGGCGTGTTGAAGATAATCGGTCCGATTATCTTGATCGGATTTCGCGTGGAATTTGGCCCAAAGCTTACAGCAGAGCTGAGCTAGCCAAGAAGCAGCGCCGGTTGTTCCTCCCCTCAACAATGTTATCGTTGTCTTATTCGGCGTTTCGACATTGGGCGGGAGGGGGGGGAGGGGGGGGGGACTGGCTCTGGACCTCTGCTCAATGCGGCTCTTTGCATTCAGTGCGTCTTATGGGGAAGACTCCACCTGCCCCAAAATGGCGCCAAAAACAGCCAAGATCGACTTCATGGGGGGGAGGGTGGGTGCAGGAGCCCGCGACGATCGGCAAAACAATGAATAAGACAACGATCACATTCTCCTCCTCTTCCGTCGTCGTGTTTCACGTGCCCTGACGGTGATCGAAGCGATCTCCGCTTCTGACCTCCCCCTCCTCCTCAGGACCAGCTCCGACAGCGCGGTGCGCAAAAGCTCCTGAGCAATTGCAAGGGTCGTCGGCGAGCCCGAGGGAAGTGAGAAGGTGCGGGACTTCTCAGAAGGCTCGGGAGTCCCTCGGCCTTATGGCGAGTTGTCTAAGCCTTCCCCGAAGACAGACCGAGAATTTCTCACAAGGCGCGGGAGCTCCTGCGAAGTCCCGCCGCCTTCTGAGAAGGCCTTCTCCTTCCGACGTTCCCCCCCCCCCCGATCGCCGCCGAAAGAAGGGGATGATCCAGGCGCGGCCGAGAGCGCGCGAGGGGCAGCCGGCGGACTCGGGGGGAAAGCTCCCGCAGCTGCAGGCTGCAGGGGGGGCGGAGCGGGAGGGCTCGGACGGAGGGGGGGAGCGGCGGGCCACCTCCCCGCAGACGCAGGGAGTGCCAGCAAGGCGCCGGGTCACGAGCAGAGTCCCTTCTCGGCTTGGGCGAGAGCGCGGAGCGGAGCGTGGCCAGCTCGCATACTGGCTGCCCGCCAGGCCTCCCCAACCGAACCCGGAGAACCAAATTTCGGGTTGGGGGTGGGACGGGTTCCATCTGGATTGGGATGTTCGCCGACACTCGGGCTCCAAAGTGCGGGCTCACCCCCCCGCTGGGAATGGAGGGCACGCTGGGGCCTTCGGGTTGGGCTGGGATGGCCTGGTGTCGCAGGCCAAGAGGTTGACACCAACACCAATTTCGGCGGTGTGCCTCCACCGGGGGAAGAAGATCCCGATCTCGGTGATGGTGGTAATATTCTGGCTTCCAAGGTGGCCGAAATATTACCACCAACACCGAAATCTAGGATCATCTCCCCCCTGTGGAGGCAACCCCCTGTGTTTTGGTATTGGTGCCCATGTCCGGGCCTGCAATGGTGGACACGCTGCCATCGTGCCACCACAAAGGGGCACCGCGACGAGGAAGGGAAGGGGAGCTTTCTGCTGGCCGCCGCGAGCCGCGGCCACGGGTGGGCTCCCCGACCTGCCTCTGAGGAGCGTTCCCGAAAGCCATAGCCCCACCAGAACCTGGGAGCGGCCCCGACCTCGGCACCCGGACCGTGTAACGGGGCCCTCTGGGGCCACTCGATAGAGGCCTCCGAGCAGATGGCGTCGGATGATCGCGCCACATCGCCGATGCATCGGCGATGCATCGGCGATGCATCGGCGATGCACCAGCGATGTATCGTCGACGTGGGCGATGCATCGGCGACGTCGACGTGAAGCAAATCGGGCTGCACATCGAGCCGCATCGGCGATGCATCGGCGATGCGGCGCGATCCTCCGACCCCATCTACTCGGACCCCATCTAGGAGGCCTAGATTCAAGTGCTTTCTCTCGGGCCGGGCGAGAGGGGGGGATGGCAAAGGGGGGGTTTGAGCATCGGCTCACGTATGGCTGATTTCCCCGGCGCCTCCCGGCGCCGGCGGCGCCCATGCATCGAGGAGTGGACCTGGCGGTGGGGCCGAAACCAGCTGCATGCAGCAGATTCTGTAACCCACGCCGCGCGGGCGGGTCTGGGCCGACGCACGGGGGCCGCAGAGAGGCCGCCCGGGATGGGAACAAGGAAAGGCGACACCAACACCAGCAGGGCGAGGAGGTGCGAGGAAGCAAGGGGAATTTTCCTGGTGGTGTGGTCCACCCCTCTCGCTCGAGACATCCCCGGCATCCGGCTCGGAGAGGCATCGTGGACCTCCTCGCTGGAGGCAGGCCCCCTGGTGGTGTTGGTGTCGCTTCTCCTCCCTCCGCCCGGGAGCAGGGGGGAGGCTCCGGCAGCGGCGCGGCCGAGAAGCGCTCGAAGCGCTTGCGCGTGAAGAGGTGCACGCAGACGCCGGGCCGCACGCGGCCGGCCCGCCCGCGGCGCTGGATCCTGCCGCGGGGGCTGTTTATGAGGAGGAGGAGGAGGAGGAGGAGGAGGAGGAGGAGGAGGAGGATTAGGTCCCGGCGGCAAGGTCTCTTGCATGGAGCGGGGGGCGGTGCGCGGAGAGGCCGGCACCCCCCCTCTCCACGCAGGTCGAGCCTCATCTGCGCAAGGACGCAAGCCGAGATTCCACGCAGGGTTAAACACTGGACTCCACGCAGGTTGAGACTCAGTTGCGCGCCTGTTCGGCCCAGCGCTGTTTGGAGAGGCGGCGGGTGGGGGGGCGGGGAAGGCCTAGAGGCCTCCTAGATGGGGTCGGAGTTGATGGGGTCGGAGGATCGCGCCGCATCGCCGATGCATCGGCAATGCATCGGCGATGCATCGGCGATGCACCGGCGACGTCGGCGTGGGGAAAGTCAGGTGCCACATCGAGCCGCATCGGCGATGCATCGGCGATGCGGCGCGATCCTCCGAACCCATCTATTCGGACCCCCTCTGGGAGGCCCAGAATGCCATGCAAGTGTAAACGTGCCCAACCTTCGAACGAATCAGCCTCCACGGCGACAGCCGGGGGGGGGGGCGGGGGCAGAGCGTGGAGGCGCGCGCGAGGAGGGAGGAGCAGGACGAGGAGGACGAAGAGGGGGGAAAACACATTTTCTGAGGTCTCTTCGGGGCCCGCGGTGGCTTCCATCGGCCGCGCCTCGTCGTGGGCGTTCTAGGATGCCGGAATCGTCCAGAACGGCCGTCCGAGGCACGAGCCGTGACGCGAGAGCCAATGAGACCGCCTGGGAGGGGGCCCGGAGCTGGGCGGCACGCACCCAAACCACCCCGCGTCGTGAACAACTCGTGACGACGGGCGATCTCGCTCGTGTCTTCTTTCCCTGGGGGCACTCGCCAGACCCCGTGGCCGTCGCAGAAAGACTCGGGGGGAGCGGGTCGATGCCACGCGGAGGCCCACGCTGCACCAGCAAAAACCACGACGTCGGGGGAGAAATGGGCGCGGCGGACCCGTGGCGCGAATAAGACCCGCCTTCCGGCGAGCAGGGCGAGTTCCGTGTCCAGAGGCCTCGACTTGGAGACCTCTTCGGTCGGAGCTCTCCTCGCACGTGGGCGACTCAAAAGAAGAGGGTGGCGAGCGCGAGAGGACATAGCGCCCTCACCCGGCGGCGTGCGCGGGCCGCCAGCCACGCACACCACAATGGGAGAGACGAGGGCGCTCACGCACGGCCTTGCTCGAACAGCTTGCGCGCCCATGTCGGCGCAGCCGACCCCGATGTTCTCGCGTCGCCCACGCGTGGGCCCGCGGCCTCGGCAAGCGCGGTCGCATGCGCGACCGCCCCTCAAGTCGGCACCGCCACCCCGCGGCGCGCAACAGATCAGAGGGCCGCCCCCGCGCGACGCGCAGCTGCACAGGGTTTGAAGAGGAGGAGGAGGAGGAGGAGGAGGAGGAGGAGGAGGAGGAGGAGGAGGGAGGAGAGAGGAGGGAGGAGGGAGGAGGAGGAGGAGGAGGAGGAGGAGGAGGAGGAGGAGGAGGAGGGGAGGAGGAGGAGGAGGAGGAGGGAGGAGAGGGAGGAGGGAGGATGGAGGAGGAGGAGGAGGAGGAGGAGAGGGAAAGAGGAGGAGGGGGAGGAGGAGGAGGAGGGGGAGGAGGAGGAGGAGGAGGAGGATGAGGATGAGGAGGAGGAGGAGGAGGAGGAGGAGGAGGAGAGGAGGAGGAGGAGGAGGAAGAGGAGGAGACAGGAGGAGCGAGGAGGAGGCCCCCTCGCAAGGCTGCGTTCTTGCTGCACGGGAGGCGGTGATCGAGCAGGGTGTGCGCCGCGTGCGCCTCCTCGAGCCTCGGGAAGCCTCTCGAGAGGCGCCCGGCCCAGGGCTCCTCCGCAGGCCCCAGAGGCCTTTGACGTGTCGGGGCAGGCGGTCGTCGCTTCGCCACGTCGTCTTTGGCACGCTCTCTGCTCCTGCACTGCCCTGCCGCTCCCAGTTGCTCCTCCTGCTGCGGTGAACGCGTCCGACGTTCACCCTGCAGTGCCGAGTGCGAGCGAACGAGCGGCGTGCGGTCAGCCGGGCGAAGAGGATGGCGGAAGCCCGCCCTCGCACCCATAGGCGCGAGGAGGGGATGTGCATACGAGTAGGCGAAGGCGAGGGTGCGCGGGGGGGAGGCTGAAGAGGAAGCAGAGCCTGATGAGGAGGACGAGCACGAGTCCGTTGGCAATCGAGGCCACGGGCGACAGAGACATCGGCGCGGCGCTTCAGGACAGCACAGTTTCCCAGAGCAGCGTTGTTGCAGCATTTGTTTGCTGCCCGTCGAGGCTGCGCTCGGGAAAACGTGAACTGTTTGATTGTTCCGTACTTTGTGTTCGTTGGTTTACCCATCGGTCGGAAGAAGTAGGTAGAAACATAACGTAGGAAGGCGTTGGAAATATATTGGGTTTCCGCCCGCCTCCTGAAGAAGAGGGGAAACCACTCGACTCTTGAAGTAGGAAGGCGCTGAAAGTAGATTGGAATCTGGGAATCCAAAAATACCTACTTTCAACGACCACTGGGTACTTGTCTTCTACGTAGGCGAGGGGGGGGGGGGGAAACGCGCCCACGGCCTGGCGGTCCGGGCTGCTCGGCTGCACCCCTATAGAGATACAGGGCGGCCTCGCGCGGATGCCCCGCTCGAAACGTACGCATGGGATCGCGTGTCCATGGGCTCTCGTCTCGATCTTCAGACCGCGAGGGCATGCATGTGCATACCTATAATTGCAACTCGTGGCGCAAGTAGCCAGGTGCAGCCAGACGCGGCCAAGGGAAGTAGGTTGAGCGGGGCATGGACAGACAAGAACTGAAAGACAGATGGAACGCAACTGCGGACAAGTAGGGATCGAAACGGCCGCCCCCTCCACAGCGTGAACAGTTGAAGCAAACAACACAAAAACCTGCATCCGCACATCCAGGACTCTTGCCCCTCCAGGCTCGATGCAGCAAGGGCGTCATGGAGGGTCGGGGTGGGGGAGTCACTGTGCGGGGCAGGAGGGAACATAACCAATAAGGACCAGGAGGGGTGAAGACAGCAGAAACAAGCACGGAGACGCAGAGAGCGAATCCTGAAGCGGGGAGAAGGGGCATGAGAAAACAATGTCGTAAGTAACAAAAACGCCGGAACCTCCTGCTCCTCCTCCACGTTGTCTGTGTCCCGTCCTTCCTCCTCCTCCTGTTTGGAGATACCACAGGTCCCTTCTGCGCGAGATATGAACTGGTCGGTCAGCGACGACGTGTTCGTAGCCTCACGCACTGCACTTTTGAGGAGAACGGTGCACGATGGATCGGTCGCATGCACTCCCTGACCTTTCACCAAAGAACCAACGACGAGTCTGCGCTTGATGACAGTACCCTCTTTCGCAAACTACTCGCTGCCCCGATTGGCATCGACTTCTGCATCACTGCCTGCTGAGACCTCTACAGTGCGGGCGCGGCCGCGAGAAACCCTCGCAAGAAAGCCAACCCTGAAAACCCGCGCGCGAGATACATCTGAGGAGAAGCCCAGAGCACCCTGAACGCAGCACCTTCTTCGACGGCCGCGGGAAGTCACCGCGCAGCGCGCGGAGCGCAGAAACCAAGGATACCCTGACGAAAAGCAGATGCGTTCTTGGTGCGCGCCCCCGACTGTCCTTGCCCCCCCGCTGCGTGCACTATCAACTTCGAGCCCGCGCCCCCCCAAGGCTCGCTACCTGTTAAACGTCAGCACAGACATTCGCCCTGCCTGCGATGTCTAGCAGAACCCATCCCCCAAGAGAGTGCATCCTCCTCCTAATCCTCCTCCTCCTCTTCCTCCTCCTCCTGCAAGTCTGTTGTAAATATGCTTGCCTCGTGGAACTTGCTCTGCTTCACTCGGCCGGCATCCACCACGTACACCACATCGGGGATTGTGACTCCTGCAGTCGTTGGTTCCCAAGGCGACGGAACTACCGTCGTCCTGCCTCAACTCGAAACATGCTGCTCGCTTCCCTGAGTTGCCATCTGCTTGGCACCTGACCTAGCCTTCTGTTGCTCCCATCGTACTCAAGGACCGCATCCCAGAAATAATTTCGAGCACCCGGAAAAGTGTCGAGTGTCGAAATAGTGTCGAAAAAGTGTCGCAGCAGTGTCTCCCAGGGCCCGACACGGGGAAACCCTAAAGTTTTTGTTTGGGTATTTGTCCAGCATTCGAAATTCTTTCTGGCAATCAAGGCTAAAGTAGGTTGGAACATCATAAATCTAGCCGCTAACGCTGGCTCACCGAAAGGCATTAGCAAGAGGACGGGTAAGAAGGGGCGAGGTAAGGGCAGGAGAGAGACAGATGGATGAGGAGCAGACGAAGGAAGGATGCGGCCCCGCCAGACACTTAGCGCACGTCCACCTCACCCGAGCAAACCCACTCAACACACAAACCAAGACAGCGCGATCGTCGTCACCCAGTCACGGACGATAATCTAAACATTTTGGATGCTACAGACCCGTTGAGCTTCACACTCCTGGCTGCAATTCATGTCTCTCCAAATGTGCTGCAAGAGTGAAAGGAGAAAGCAGAGGGCCAAGGAGAGAAGCGGGCAGCGTGGACCGCCAAGGGCCCGAAGGCTGCGTCCAGGCAAAAGATGGCTCGGGCACACTATCCAAGACACCGATGCTGACCCCGGAGGGCGATGAATGATGAAACTCCTTATCCACCTCCTCCTCCTCCTCCTCCTCCTCTTCCTCCCGCTCATCCTCCTCTCTCGAAACCTCCCCCACCGTGAGCCTGGAATTGCGCCTGAGGCGTGCTTTGGGAGCTCCCCACGCAGAGTCTATGTATTGTGAAGCGGTGGCTGGCACACCGTGAACCCACTTGGCGCCGAGCGGCGGGGCCGCGACCAGATCCTGTTGAAGCCCTCCAGGGCTGTCCCTGGGTCGTCTTTGGGGGGGCGTTGGCCGTCCCGGGGCCCTCTTATGGGAGCCTCCTGGGGCCCTGCTTGGGGGGCTCTCTTGCGAACCTCTGCGGGGCTCTCCTGTGCCAGCGTTGGGGCTCTCGTGGGCCGTGCTGGCGCCCTCTACGGGCTTCTTGGATAGTCTTGGGCCGACGTTTGGCGCTTCCTGGGCCGTCTTGGAGCGTCGGAGCCCTCCAAAGGCGAAGACCTGAAATCACCCCAAACATTGTAAAGGAGTCAATGGTTGGAGGCTCTTCAGGTCGTCTTGGGGGTCATCTGAAAGCTCTCTTGGGCCGTGTTGGGGCCTTTCTGGGCCACCTGATAATGCTGTGGCCGTCCTGGAGCTTTTTAGGGGACCTTCCAATGGCCTTGGAGCTCTCTTGGGGCCGTCTTGGGCCTCCTTGGGCCGTCTTAGAGCCTCCTTGGGCCGTCTTGGGGCCCTCTTAGGCTATCTTGGTTGGCTTTTTTGGGCTTCATTGGGGGCCTCTTGGAACGTCTTCGGGCGACCTCAGGCACCTCCTGAACCGTCTTGGGCCGTCGGAAACCCGAAAAGGCAAGAATTTCAAAACCTTCATAACCCCCCAAACACACACTGATGATGTTGGCCTCCCGGAGCTGTCTACGCGTGCCTCTGGGAGCGCTCTCGGGTGCGTCTTGGAATTAATGGGCCAAAGGAAACTGGATCGGCAAGAGTGTATCCCCAGAGCCCTCGACTCCACTCCACCTCGCAATCTACAAGCTCCTGTCTCCGCAATGTTCGTCGACAGGACGATCTTCCGGGCGCCGCGCGGGGCCGGCTCGAACGCCGCGTTGGTGTCCTCGCTGGCGATCGAGCTGTGCAGGACGATGATCTTGTATTGGTAACTGTTGCAGAACTCGGGGTGGTGGGTCAAAGCCTGCGGAGTCAGGAATCTGGCAATCAGGAGTGTGGACGCCCGACATGGGTACACAAAAAAATGGTACGATGCTCAACAGCAAATGCTGCCAAAACCCGACAGCGGCCGCTGTCGGGCAGGCGGCTTTCTCTCTCAAATGGACAACGCCGGCGGCGGCACCGGCAGCACGTCCCGCTCAGAACGGGCAGTCGCCTTCGTCCCTCCCCATTCTTCCCATACCCATTCGACAACGACAAATGCAGCTGCCAGTCTTCGTCCCTTTCCACCCCCGCAGGATCCTGCAAGATCCTGCGCGCTAGCCCGGGTCAGTGCAACCCTGGCTTTGCAGGATCCTGCAAGATCCGGCGCCGTGGCTGACCCCCGTCTGCATCGACCCCCGTCACTTCAGCCCCGACACGGGAGAACCCCCAACCGCGGGGCGTCCGTCTCGGCCGGTTTTTTCCCCAGCCCCGTGGGCAGCTGCTGGCTGCGGCAGGGTCGCTTGCTGGGGCGCTGGCTCGTGACCACACGTGGATGGTTCCGCCTTAATTGATCGCGGCCTCCCGACGGGGGTGAAGGGGGCGGACGGAGGGCGGGGGAGGGGGAGCCGCTTACCAGTCGCAGCGTGCGTAACGAGCCCGGGGGGCAGCAACCGCAGCGACCACCGAGGACGGGGGGGGGCGGGGGGGCAGGGGGAAGGGGCGAGGGGCGACCACGGAAGGGACCCGCAGCGGGTAGGGTCCGTAGAGACAGAGAGAGAGAGAGAGAGAAAGAAACAAACAACAAAAAAAAACGTATGGCGGGGTTATGCAGGGTTCGGGCCCTCGTTGCCGGGTGGCCGATGAAAGTCAAACGCAGATGTGCAGGGCAGCCCGCAAATGGCGCCGCGTGGGATCTAGGCCGGTGATGATACGCGATGCGTCAGTGGCCGTCCGGGACGATCAGGCACCTCCGGAGCGCTCCCAGCGAGGCACAGCTGCAAGAGGACAGGGCCACAGGAAACGCAAGTGGCTAACGGCCACACTGCCAACTGGAATAAAGAAGAGGGGGGAGGGAGGGGAAACGCAGAACGAAGAGCCAGGAAGTAGGGGATGGCACTGAAGTGGCTAACGGCCACACGTTCTGGTCTCTGGTGTCTGGTTAACGGCCATGCCTTCTGGTGACGTTCCTGACGCATCCCGCGACTGTGCCAAGGTGATCACGTCCACTTGGACCGCTTGCCGTCGTGGTCTGCACCGTCGCTGTTCCGTCTGCCTCTCTTGCCTCCGTCATGCCAGTCATGGTCGTGCCAGAACTGCCCTGAGCCTTGCCAAGGCCGCCCCCCCAAGGAATCCCACGACTGGCGCTGGGAGCCAGAGCACCGCCCCTTTCACTGATGGGACCCCTTGCCAGAGGTCGCCCCGATGTGCCTCTCACGCACGGCAGGCCAGTCGACTTTGAGCCCCAGCTGCCGATCCATCGCGCAGGCGTCGATACCGCATCTGCGCCAGGCGCCCAGGAAGCCCTTGCACGTGGACTCGTCGTTCAGGAAGGGGTTGCTTGTGAACTTCCCTTTGGCACGGATAGGGTGCTGCTGCGTGTAGCCGTGCCAGATCCCGTTGAACGCGCTTCCTGGACGTTTCTGGAAGCGCGCGATTTTCTCGGCTGGGCCCTCTCCGCGGCGATCCAGGTAGATGTTTCCCAGGTGCTCGCGGTGCATGCTCTCGCCTGTAACGGGATCCAGGAGATGGTCGAAGGCCCTTCGCGCGCTGCTGAGGCGCCCACTGCCGTCGGAGCCAGGAGGCGCCGCGCGCCTGTCCTCAGCCCAGGTGCCGGGCCCATCACCATCACTGATGGCTTGTCTCGTTTCGGCGGGGGCGGGTCACCTCTTGATTTGGCGGCCGCCGCAGCGCCGGCAGCTGAAGGCGCAGGCGGGTCGCTCGGCCGGAAGGCACCGAGAGGATCGTAGCCAGGGTTTGGGCTAGCCTCTGGGGCGCCCTCACCTTTGTCCTCGTGGCTGTACTCGAGCGAAGGTGGAAACGAGCGCCAGGCTGCTTGGGACCTTCGCTCGCTTCTGCGCGCTCGCTCGGCGAATCTGCTGGGGATACTGGTCGCGGGCCGTCGAAGTCCACCGAGAGATCCCTTCCGCGGTAGTACCGCTGGCGCCGTCGTGTGCCTCGGCGTCGGCTGCGGTGCCTGGTCGGTCGGGCTTCTCTTCCTCGCCCCTGGCCGAGTCTGCGGGTGCGCCGCCGGCCTTGTGGCCCACCTGCAGGCCGCGGGAGGGCGTTGGCCCCGTCCCTGGGGCGCCGCCGGGGGCCAGGTCAACGCGCCCAGAATGCGACGCCGGGCCGTCCCCGCCAGGGTTGTGGGCTGCATGCCGGCCTCGGGCTGACTCGCCGACCTCTTGCTTGGGAGCGAGCCATGTCCCTGCCCCCGCACCTGCTGCTGTCAGCGGAGGCACCTCGCTGTCCGAGCTTGTGACTGGGCCATGGCACACTAGATTTGTTTTGCTGCGCGCGCAGCGCTCAGGCCCTTCAGTGAGTCCATCGTTCGGGGACTCCCCGTGGAGTTCCCGCTGCAAGTCTTGGACCACGGTTTTATAGAGTGGCCTTCCAGCTTCGAGGTCCCGCGGTTCTGGCTGCTGGCGAAAGCTGGTCGTCCATCCGCTTCCAGCCCGGCGTGCTACGGGCGCGCCCCGGTCGCGCTGCTGGCAAGCCTTGGCGATCGAGCACGTTTCCTCACCAAGGAAGAGAGCGCCAGGGTGGAGAACCTGATCCCGGGGGGAGCCGACGAGGGTGGAAGTATGTTCCTGCCCCTGTCCGTGTTTGGACGCCTGAGGTGGCCCCAGCGCGCTCTGCGAGGTTCTTGGGGCAGCTCCGTGGTTGCTTGGGGAAGCGCCCACTCGCATCGAGTCGCTGGCAAGGGGCGGAAGACGACTGGGGGCGAAGGGACTTCTCAAAACCACCTGACGGATGGCTTCGCTGATCTGTTCGTCCGCCGACGGCTGTCCGAGTGCACCCTGGGCCACGGGGGCTGGAGCCGCACTAGGGTAGCAGCAGCTGTCGTCTTGGCCAGGGACGGAATCCTGGCCAGGCTAGCAGCACGCGGTTGCAGGCACCAAGTGAGGTCCATCAGGGGGTAGCTGCCACTGATGATGTCCCTGCTCCTGCTGCTGCTGAAGATACTCCTGCTCCATCAGCTTCTGGCGCCCTTCCCGCGGCTCCTCCAGCTCGGACACCTGCTGCCAAAACAACTCTGCCTCTATGGCCGCCGCAGAGCCGACAGCCTCCCGCAGCTGCTCCAACGCGGACACTTCGGCCTGCAGCTCGGACACCTGCTGCCTGAATTGCTGTACCTCTGTGGCTGCAGCAAAGCCGAGAGCCTCCCGCAGTTGCTCCCCCACGGACAGCTCGGCCTGCAGCTCGGACAACTGCTGCTTGACCTGCTCTGCGATTGTGGCCGCAGCAGGGCCGACCGCCTCCTGCCGCTGCCCCTCCGCGGACAATTTGGCGTGCAGCTCGGACACCTGCTGGTCCGCCAGCCCGGGAGGCGGGTCCACTTCACGAACTGAGAACGGCCTCGACGCATCACCTTTGCATGCGCTCTCGATCAACTGCACGGGTATGCGGCATTGCACTGGCTTCAAGTCCAAAGCATATGTGTCACATGGCAACAATACTGCAACATCGGATGCTTTGCGGATGCCCAACGCCTGAACAATCTGATACGCAACATGATCCAAATCCCAAAAGCGGAGAAGGTCGAAAGCATCTTTCGGGACCTGACCAGAACCACAAGGCGGGTCAGGTGGTTTGGCCTGCAGTGTACGGCGAAGCCTTTTTCCCTCCGATGCTTGAACAGAATCGTCATGAAATACCTCTACAAAGGTGCTGCCCGCCCCGTTGGGGCGGCAACCCCAGTTGCCGTCACTGCCGTCACGTCCGCCTCTGCCGCTCGGGGCCGCTGGGCAGTCGGGCGGCTGAACAGCTGCCTGGGTCAGCCTGGGAGGCGCATCCATCGCTGGCCGAGCGCGCAATGCTGAAAAAGGGGCGCGCTCGAGCCGAGACGGCTTGAGCCAAAACTACGGACGCTGGCGGGAAAACGGGATGCGTCAAGAATTGCTAGCTGGTGGCAGACAAAGGACTGAAAGCTAGCCCGCCGTACGCCGTACGCGCTACGAAGACGAAATTGTGGTGAGATGGTCCGTTATCATTCGGCGGTGGACACACCTCCCTTTAGTAAACCTCCCCTTAGTGAAAACGGCCCGGGACCGAAACCGACGGACCTGGACCCGGAAAAATTACGGCCGCGACTCCCTCTCGCGAAATGAAAACGGCCAATTCGCTAATCGACGTGTCAGGGTAGAAGGTCTATTAACCTCCGAATCATACGTAAGGGATTTCGGCGTCCTGGCATACCGAAGCCCATCAGTTCAGTAATCCTCGCCTCCCCAGTCGCCATCGAGACGCTCAGGGGCCAGATCGCTGAGCTGAAGGATCTCAAGGTGGCGTACCATAAACAGACACTTCTGGAGGGCCGCGCGGACTCTTGGACTCGCGCTGAACCCCTTCCCTAGAGCGCGGAGCTCCAAAAGCGTACGGCAGGCCTTAGGACAGAACATCCTTCAAGCACATGAGGCCCTCAGCCCGCCGAACTGAAGAACATTCGAGGGTGCCCTCCCCCAGGATGCCGAAGAATCTCCGACCTACACAAAGAGCATCAGGGTTCCCTCCCCGCACCAACCTCGATCTTCTACCTCGGGCCGACCGCATGTCTGTGCCGCTGTTGCTCTGAATGGCGCTCCCGGCCGCGCGGCGCGCCGGCGGCGAGCCTTCTCGGCCTTGTCGATCTCCGCGATGCCCGGCAAGAACACGAGGATGGCCCCGTCCTCCGGGCGGTGCCGGTCGGTTGACGAGCAGGCGGGAGCTCGAGGTGTTGCCGGAGGCTTCCCTGGCCGACGGTGTCCCCAGCTCTTCTTTCCGGACGCAACAAGCCCACGCTCGGCACGCCTCGCGGCCAAACTCGCTCATGGGATCCTTCGTGCTGTCGATAGGTCACACGTCCTGCGCGCTCCGATGGCCCTGGTGCAGCAGCAGAGGCACTCCAGGGCGCCCCCGGCTGGACGCTGATCGACGCTGATCGACAATAAAGACGGAATTCAGAGAGTATACCAGGCTCCCATGATTTGCTACCGAAAAGTCCTGGGGCAACCTCGAGCCAAGGACTTCCTGGCAACGCCCGAGAGCTGGATTGGAGCTCGAGATCGGATCGTGCTGGAAACGGTTCGGATCGCCAGCGGGTCGTCCCGAGTCGAGCCGAAATCGGACCGCCTCGCCTCGCCTCGGGTCGGAGTGGCGGCGCACGCCGGCGAATCGAATCGGACCGTAGGCAGCCATGGACGGGGGCGAGGCTCGGTCGTCAGAGGCTCGGCCATTTCTGCTGTCCCTCGACGCGCGCTGGGACTGCCACTCGCTTTTTTCCAGTGGGTGGGCGCACCCTCAAGAGTCCCCCTCGTCGTCATCCTCCAAGTCCGCGCGGCGACAGCACAACCGAACACCGACCGAACCGGCAGCGAAACCGAGAGTTGCCGAAACCGACGGGCCGCAAGCAGCCAGAAGAGCGCAGCGATGCAGCAACGACACGACATACGATTGAACCGTAGACACCTGTTCTTCCCATTCCTGTTGATTAAGATTTCACGGGCCTCATCGAGGGCCATAGTTGGGGCCCCCAGTGGTATTGTCACCCTCGACGGTTCAATGTGAACCTTTGGGAGTCCATGAGTGAACACGTTGCGGACCTAGGAGGCCTGTGAGAAGCCTAGCAAGTTCGGCACATTCAATGGCACTGGAGGGGCGATGACCTCCATATGGGGGCGAACCGATGGGCCGATGCTGGAGCGATTGCTGGGCGCGACCTTAGCCATCTCCCCGCCATCACGCCACTGCCGTGCGAATTGTTCTCGAGTGGGCTCGTCAGGATTTGAGATGGCAGGTTCAAATACATGAGTTTCATGGCACACGGGAGGAAATACTGTCGACCCGTATAATAAGAATGCGCGACAAGGATGCAAGGGCCTTGAAAGGCCACGTCGAAGCTTTGCGAGCGGGGCGCGGCCCACGCGAGTGGTCAAGGATGGGCCAAGAAGGCAAGGATGCAATGTACCCTTGGGAAAATTGCCATTCCGTACTATGCGGGTCGACTGTACTGCATGAGGGGTGCGTAGGTCCGTTGTCAGATAGAAAACCTTTTGCTGGAGTCGTGCTTTGCCACCGCTACCGCCTTTCGTCGGCGGCGCGCACAAAGAAAGGGCGGGGGAGGGGGGAGGACGCTTCTTCGAAGGAGGCTATTTCTCAGAAGGAGGCGGCCTTACATCTATAGATAAGGCCCGCGCCTTCTAAGAAGCAGGGGTGCTTGTACGAAGACTCTCCTCCTCCCCCCCCCAGCTCTGCGCGTTGCTGGGTGTTGCCGCTTCGATGGCTGCTGCCAGGGCGCCTCGCGTTGGGTTCTCTAGCCTTGGCACCCCCCTCTGCCTGTGCATCGATTGATTTCCCCGATGAAATCTGAGATTGCTGCTGAGTATTCCTGCCCACCCCTCCTCCTGTACTCCTCTCGCTCATCCTGCACGCCTCTCCCTCCTCCAGCCACAGGAAGAGGAGCAAACACAGGGGATAGAAAAGGGTGGGAGGGAGAAGAAGGAAGAGGACGAGGAGGAGGAGGAAGAGGAAGAGGAGGAAAGAGGGTGAACTAGGAGTGAGGAGGACGATGAGGGAGAGGAGAAAGACAAAGTAAACGAAAAGGGTGAGAGGAGGAGGAGGAGAAGGCGAAATAGAAGGAGGAGGAGGAGCAAGGATGAAACCCTTCTTTTCCTCATCCCTCACCTGTCACTCCTCCTCCTTTCCTCATCCACGTCTTCTCCCTCCCCCGCCCCCAGCGCAACCCCCTCCACACCTTCACTCCTGCTCCTCCTCCTCCTCCTCCTCCTCCTCCTTCCCCTCCTCCTCTTCCTCCTCCTCCTCTTCCACCTCCTCGTCCTCCTCCTCCACCTCCTCCTACTCCTTTATGTGTGCCCCGTATAGAGAACTCCTCCCTGTCGCACCCCGAGGCCGGTCGAGGGGGGGGCTTGGCGGCGCGCGCATACTCCCCCACCGCTTGCGATCCCGAGGCTTGCAATTCGCAACGCTTTCCACGGGCCCGTTTTCCAAATGTGGACCTCGGTTTGGCGCCGCGCGCAGTCGTCTTGAAAGGTTGCCAGGAGCTTCGCGGATGGAGGGCGGCCCATTGTCAAAATGCGGTTCGCCTCAAAAAATTGCGATGGGTTTTACGGATGGAGGGCGGACTGCTGTCAAATTGTGGCCATCGCCTGAACGCCGCGCACATTCGTCTTCAAAGGTTGCCAAGGGTTTCACGGATGAAGGACGACCCGTGTCCAAAATGTGGCCCTCGATTGGCGCCGCACACGTTAATCTTCAAATTTTGCCAGGGACTTCACGGATGGAAAGCGGCCCGTTTTCACATTGTGGCTCTCGCCCTAGCGCAGCGTACATTCATATCACATGATTGCAAGGAGCTTTTACAGATGGATGGCGGCCTGTTTAGAAATGCGGCCCTCGCCTTTGCGCCGCGTGCATTCGCCCCGGAACATTGCAAGGCGATTCGTGGATTGAGGGTGGCCATTTTCAGAATGTGGGTCTCGCCCGAGCGCAGCGCACATTGGTCTTCAAGAATTGCAAGGAGCTTCACAGATGAAGGGCGGCCCGTTCTCAAAAGGTGGTTCTCGCCCCAGCGCCGCGCACAACCGTCTCGGCGGATTACGGGGGCTTCGCGGATGAGGGGCGGCCCGTTTTCACAATGTGGCTCTCGCCTTAGCGCCGCGCGGGGGCCTCCTCCTCCTCCTCCTCCTCCTCCTCCTCCTCCGCCACGTCTTCCTTTACCTCCGACGTCTCATCGCGCATCCGTCACCCTCGAGAGCCGAAGTGTCCAGGGTCGGCGGCACTGCCCGTGAGGCCTCAGCACTACTGCGGGGGGCAGGGGGGGGGCCTCGCGGTTGGAGGGCGGCCATGCTTCAGATGGCGGTTCTCTCGCCTCGGCGCCGTACGCATATTCGCCTTGGAAGACTGGGGGGCTTCCCGGGTGGAGGGCAGCCCGCTCTCAAAATGTGGCCCTCGCCCTGGCCCTGGCGCAGAACCAGCTGGGAAGATGCCAAAACAATTCGCGAATGGAGGGCGGCCCGTGTTCAACATGTGGCTCGCGCCTGAGCGCCGCGCAGATTCGCCCTGGAAGATTGCGGGGGGCGTCGCGGGTCCTCGCGCAGCGAGACTCCGTCTCGAAAGATTGCAAGGAACGTCGAGGGTTCAGGGCGGCCCGTTGTCTAGATGTGGCCCAGGGCAGCGCTCAGTCGTCTTCAAAGATTGCAAGGTGGTTCGCGGATGGAGGGCGGCCCGTTTTCAAAGCTCTCGCCGTAGCGCCGCGCGCGTTCGCCTCAAAAGATTGCAAGGCGCATCGCGGATGTGGGGGCGGTCACTTTTCAAAATGAGGCCCTCGCTTTGGCGCCGCACACGTTCGATTTGAAACATTGCAAGGAGCTTCGCGGATGGAGGGCGCCCCGTTGTCAAAATGCGGCCACCGATAAAGCGCCGCGCGCAGCCGCCTTCAAAGGTTGCAATGGGCTTCGCGGATGAAGTGCTGCCCGTTTTCACAATATGGCTCTCGCCCCAGCGCATCCGTCTCGAAATGTGGCAAGGCGCTTCGCGGATTGAGGGCGACCCGTTTTCTATGAGATGGATCTCGCCTTGGCGCCGCGCGCATTCGCCTGAAACGACTGCAGCGAGATTCACGGGTGGAGGGCGGCCGGCTTTCAAACTGTGGTTCTTGCCCCAGCGCAGCGCAACAATCGTCTTTACGGGTTGCAAGAGGGGTTCGCGGACGGAGGGCGGCCCGTCTCTGAGATGTGGCTCGCGCCTCAGCGCAGCGCGCGCTCGTCCTACAAGAGTACACACGAACTTCACGCATGGAGGGCTGCCCGTTTGCCAAATGTGGCCTTCGCCCCCGCGCAGCGCGCATTCGTATTGGAACGTTGCAAGGGGTTTCGCGGATGGAGGGCAGCCCGCTTCCACAATGTGGCTCTCGCCTCAGTTCCGCGCGCATCCGTCGCAAACGTTTGCAACCATCTAACGGATGGAGGGCGGCCCTTTGTCAAAATGCCGCCCTCACGTTTTCGCTGTGCTGCCGCACGCATTCGCCCAAACAGTTTGCAAAACCCGTCACGGTTGAAGAACAGTTCCGTTTCAAAGTTGGGCTCTCCCCTTAGCACCGCACACCTTCGATTCGCCGGTGAGGGCGGCCCCTTTTGTCAAAATGCACCTCTCGCCACAGCGCAGTGCACAGTCTTCTTGAGAGTATGCGAGGGTTTCAAGGATTCGCATGGCAAACGTCCCAAGGGCAGTGCTTTAGCACGAAGACGGATCGCTACGGCGCAGTAGCCTAAGATTTCTCGCAGAGTTGAAATCCCAGGAATTGTGCTCTGGCACGATTCAGGGACGGCAAGACGCGACAGTAACTGTGAATCGCGGCGTTGATTCTTCAGGAATGGCGTTCTGGCACAATTCCAGATTTCCAAACTGTTCCCCTCCAACGGGGCACATCCCCCAGTGAAAATGAATCTGGGTATGGGGCCCATGGCGAGGAAACTTGAAGGGGTGGGTATTGCAATCGTTGGTGGGTCTTGGGTTCACACTGGTCCTGCTACTCTTCCTCCCACTCCTCCTCCTCCTCCTCCTCCTCCTCTTCCTCATCTTCCTTCTCCCCCTCCTCCTCCTCCTCGCCCTCTTCTCCCTCCTCCTCGCCCTCCTCTCCCACCACTCCCCACTCGTGTCCCCTCACCCCTTTCCACCGCGGATTCCAGATTCCCCCCCCAACCCAGGCCTTCCCCCTGGAGGCCCTGGCCCGCAGAGGCCACCCCAAAAAAGGGCCAGAAGCGTCGAGCCTCCATCCCTGGGTTCCACCCCCTCTGTCCGCCCGCGCCTCTCGGGCGCCGCTCTCGTTTCGGTCGCCGCCCCTGCCGCCGCCGCCGACGCCGTCTCCGCCGCCGCCCTCCGCCGCCTGAAACGACGTCCGCCGATGCGATACGTTTTGACTCCGCGCCCACCCCTCCCCTGTTTTTATTTGTTTCGTTGTTCTGTTTGTTTGAATGTTATCTTTTCTTGTTTGTCGCGCGCCCAGCGGCCGATCGGCAGAAGTTGCCCCCGCCGCCCAAGACCCAGGCGGGCCGCCGGCGAAGTCGCGCAGCTGCACGGCGACGAGATTGGCCGTCTGCCCACTTACCCACTCGCTGAGTGCGGAGCGGAAGCGCTCTGCGAGCGCCACTTCAATTGCTGCGCCCTCCCCCGACTAGCCTGCACGGCCCAGCGGCGGGCGCCCACTGACGCGTCGAGCCCCAAAGCCCTGACAAGTCCCGCCGCCTTCTGAAAGGGCCTTCTCCTTCTCACTCCCCCCTGTCGCTCGCCGCCGAGAGTCGTCGAGGTCGTCGCCGCTCTCCCCGGGGCCCTGCAGGGCCTGCGCCGGCATGAACGACTCGCCTTCCGCCCCGGAGTCCGCAGGGGGCAGCCCCCCGCTGACGATGAACTCCAGCGTGGCGACCTGAGGGGGGCCGTCCTCAGGAGGCGCCGACCTTACATCTATAGAGAAGGCCCGCGCGTTCTAAGAAACATAGGAGCTTCTCAGAAGCATTCCCTTCTCCCCCTACTCCCCCTTGCGCATGCCCGACCCTCGTCGCCACCGCTAGACTCGCCTCGAAATCCGTGTCAGAACGCACCCCGGGAGAAGTCCAGGAAGTAGCGGCATGGGCACTTTTTGGTTTCCCCCAGGAGCACCTCCTCTCCAGGAATATCCAGCGAAAGAAACATACTCTCTCGGAGCTCTGCGCGGATTTCTCGGATCGGCGCTGGGGGCTCCCTGGCGGTGTCCCGGGTTTCCACCCCTGGCTGACAGGAGGGGGGGTGGAACTCAGACCCGGAATCGGCGACATATAGCACCATGAATCGGAGACAACTGTGCCCTCCAACATCGATGCATCCCCCCCGAGCCTACGTAATTATCCCCCCGAACGTCGCCCCGGACGACGGGGACGGGCGGACGCAACCTGTTCCCCCGAGGTCCGACGCCGAAATGAGAACCGAAATGGGAATTAGAACCAGAAAAAACGGCAGAAACGCAAGCTTTTTGAGCTCCGCGCGGGTTTTCTTGGATCTACGCTGAACCCCCCTCCCTGGCGCGCGGAGCGCGCCAGGGGCGTCGCCGGAAGCGCTGCCGGGGGGACCCAGCGCGGATCCAAGAAATCCACGCGGAGCGGCCGAAGTTTTGGTTATGGCGCTGTTTTCTTCTTCGGAGAATACAGCACCGTCAAATAAATCACGGCCTGGGCCATCGACACTATCTGTCTGCCGCGCTTCTCGAGCCAGATCGGTCCATGAGCTCCCTGGAGGCCAAGAATGGCTGAAACCGCCGAGTGCGCACGGAGGTGCGACGCCATGGCCTCAGGCTCCTTCTGCTCCTCCGCCACCTGCTCGGCCATATCCTCATCCTCCTCCAGCTCCTCCTCCAGCTCGTCCTCCTCCCCCTCCCCCTCCTCCTCCTCCTCCTCCTCCTCCTCCTCCTCCTCCTCCTCCTCCTCCTCCTCCTCGTCCTGGTCCTCCTCGTCTTCCTCCTCCTCCTCCTCCTCCTCCTCCTCATCATCATCCTTCTCCTCGTCCTGGTCATCATCATCATCATCATCATCATCATCATCATCATCATCATCATCATCATCATCATCATCATCATCATCATCATAATCATCATCATCATCATCATAATCATCATCATCCTCATCCTCATCCTCATCCTCATCCTCATCCTCATCCTCATCCTCATCATCATCATCGTCATCATCATCATCATCATCGTCATCATCATCATCATCACAATCATCATAATCATGATCCTCATCATCATCATCATAATCATCATCATCCTCATCCTCATCCTCATCCTCATCATCATCATCATCATCATCATCATCATCATCGTCGTCATCGTCATCGTCATCATCAGCATCAGCATCAGCATCATCATCATCACCATCGTCATCACCATAATAATCATCATCCTCACTATCACCGTCACCATCACCATCATCATCATCATCATCAGCATCAGCATCATCATCATCACTGCAATAATCATCATCATCATCATCATCATCATCATCTCCATCAGCATCATCATCATGCTCATCGTCGTCGTCGTGGCCGTCGGCTTGGTCATGGTCGTCGTCGTCGGCGTCGTCGTCCGCGACGTCGTCGTCATCATCAGCATCATCATCAATATCAGCATCATCACCATCACCATCATCATGAGCATCAGCATCATCGCCATCATCATCATCAACAGCAGCATCATCCCAATCACCATCACCATCACCATCATCATCAGCATTATCTTCACCACCATCATCATCATCATCATCAGCGACAGCAGCATCATGAGCATCCTCATCACCATCAGCATCATCATCACCGCCAACATCATCATCACCATCACCATCACCATCAGCACCATCCTCATCACCACCAACATCATCATCATCAGCATCAGCATCAGCATCAGTATCCATCAGCATCATCAGAATCATCAGCAGCATCAGCATCAGCATCACCATCAACATCAGCATCATCAGCAACATCATCGTCATTATGATCCTCATCCTCATCATCATCCTCACCCTCATCCTCATGTGTTTCCTCTTCCTCTTCCTCCTCCTTATTACCCTCACATCCTCCCCATAGCTTGCCTCCTTCGCCTCTTCCTCCTCCTCCTCCTCCTCCTCCTCCTCCTCATCCTCATCCTCATCCTCATCCTCATCCTCCTCCTCTTGCTCATTCCCCCTCCTCCTCCTCCTTCTCATCCTCACGGCACTCGTGACGGCCTGGGGCGTCTCGTCCGGCAACCTCGTTGCGGCGGATCGGGGGCCGGCGCTGGCGGCGGAGAGGGCGTGTGACATCGGACTCCAGTGTGGCACGGCACAACCGCTGCACTCCTGCGCCCGGCGCGCACGGTGGCCCCGCGGCAGTCGCTGGAGGCCGATCGGGAGCGAGGGCAACGGAAACGACGGCGCGCGCTTCCGCGCCCCCGACAACCCGTGTGGCGACGGGACCTCGGAACCCCCGACGACCTCACCGCACGGTCCGCCCGAGGCCCGAGCCGAAGGGCGAACCGTGCGGAACCCCCGACGCTGCTCTCTGCCCGGAGGCCCCAAGCCGCCCAGGGCGTCCTCAGAGAGCGGCCTCGAGTCCCGACGGCGTGCAGGGACCCCCCGAGCCCCAGTGGCCTCGCCACGCGGCGTGGCCACCGCGCCGCTCGGAGGCCCGCCCTCTCCGGGCGGAGCAGGTGCCCGGCGACGCTGTGCAGGACGTGGCAAGCATCGGGTCGGGCCTGTCCCCCTTACAGGGGGGAGCCTGTCCCCCTCCAGGGGGGCTTTGGACGAAGAGAGTGACAAACAATACCCCCAAAAAAGTGCCCCCACATGGCAAAACAGATGCTCAAAAGAGCGTCCCCATATTATTTGTTGGCTATGTTTGGAGATTCCCCCTGACTTGATGAAGGCACGCAGGGGACGAGGAGGCGCTGCTCGAGTCCCGCTGGCCACGCAGCGTGCGTGGCCCCTCCGCGCTCTGCGCCTGCGCCCCGAGCAGCGGCGCCGCGGGCCCGCCCGCGCGCATCCTCCGCGCGCCCCGGGGCGGTGGGGAGCGCCAGGCGAAGCCAAGACTTCAAGACCCGCTGGGGGCACGTAGGAGGCAACTGCAGTCGGGGCGTTGACCTAAGGAACCCTAAATAAGGAACGAGGCCCCTTTTTTCCATAAATTAACCTTCGATTTCCGATCGAACACATAAGGAAAGCCTGAGGCAAGCTGCGAAACACTTAAGGAACGCGGAGCCCCTCCCCAACGAAAAGGGTTCCTTCTTCAAGGCCCCGACTTTAGGAGGCAACTACTGGGAGGCGTTCGCCGGAAGGATGGAAGGGGATTGAGCCCCATTGTGGGCTGTTACGCCGGAGCGGGCCTCGAATCAAGCGGGATTGAGCCGGATTGAGCGGGATTCAGCTGGATTGAGCAGGATGAAGCTAGATGAAGCCGGATTCCGGACCAGGGCGAAATCCGAATTTGACCTCCCAGGAGTTGCATCCGAGCTGGGGCGGTGGGGAGCGCATCGCGAAGCCAAGGCTTCCAAACCGGCTGGCGACACGAATGATGCTCTGCCTCGGCTGCCCGAGACGGCCGGAGCCAGGCCTCTCGGCGTCACGCGCATGGAAGAGCAGGCAGCAGGAGCCGAAACTCGGGGGCGCGCAAACATGCATTAGCGATCCATGGAATGGCGCGCGGTCGTCAAATCCATGGATCGGGGGAGGTGCCCTCCCCAAAGGGCGGCTGGTGGCGCCTCGTTCGGCGGCGGCAACCAGCGATCTCCTATGGAAACGGGACCCTTCGCTAATCCACGCCCCCTTAATCCATGTTTGCGATCGCCTGAGAAAGGCCGCGAGGCAGGCAGGGACCGAAGAACTTCAGTCGCGTCGCCCCCGAGAGGGCACCCGAGGCGAGAGGGCCGCTTCGCGCAAGTGCCCTGGCCGCGGCGTCGGGAGGCAGAGTTCGCGGCTGGAGTTGCCTGGCCCTGCCTGTATTTCCAGCTGCTCGAGAGGTCCGTGCGAGAAGAGAGCCACTTTGTGGAGAAAGGAGAAGCGCTCCTTCTCCTCATCATCCTCCTCATCCTCAACCTCCCCCTCTCCGACCCCTCTTCCTCCTACTCCTCCTACTCCTCCTCCTCCTCGTCGTCATCATCATCCTCGCCCTCCTCCTCCTCCTCCTCCTCCTCCTCCTTCCCCTCCTCATCCTCCAACTCCTCCTCCGACTCCTCCTCCACAGTCTCTTCCTCCACCTCCCCCTCCTCCTCCTCCTCCTCCTCCTCCTCCTCCTCCACCTCCTTCTCCTTCCCTCCTCAAGAAAAGGAGAGGAAGAAGAGAAGAGGATCAAACTGAGGAGTGAGTGAGAGAGAGAGGAAAGAGAAAGAGAGAGGAGGAGGAGGAGGAGGAGGAGGAGGAGGAGGAGGAGGAGGAGGAGAAGGAGGAGGAGGAGGAGGAGGACGACGACGAGGGAGGAGGAGCAATTGGAGACGGGTAATGAGGAGAACGACGACGACGAATGCAGAGGAGGAGGAGGAGGAGGAGGAGGAGAAAGAGGAAGAGGAGGAGGCGGAGGAGTAGGGAGGAAGAGGAGAAGGAGGAGAGAGGAGGAGGAGGAGGAGGAAGAGGAGGAGGGGGTGGACGAGGAGGAGGAGGAGGAGGAAGAGGAGGTGGACGAGGAGGAGGAGGGGGAGGAGGACGGGAAGGCAAAGTCACGAATAACCTGTGCCAGAAAAAAACAAATCGGTCCCGAGCCAGCTGGATAGGAACATAAACGAGCCGTTAGAACTATTCGAAGTGGTACAGTTGCAGAATCGAAATGACAGGCTTCGAACCAGATGGCCCTCAACGGGATGGCACCTGAGGTGCGGAAGGAAGCTGGCAGCCTGCAGAGGCCTCAGGCGCCAAATGCCACATGTTGCTCAAAGCGTCAACTCCTGGGAGCCTCGACCCATTCCCCAGGCTTTCCATCATCTGGCGAGGGACCCTGGGGGTTGAAAAACCGCCACCGTGCGGCTGGGCACGGAGTGGGCGTGACTTCAAGTATTTTGCCCATTCCCCTGAGCCTCACACTTCGATCCTACGGGTTCTACGGGGCCCAAATCCCAATTCGAGGAGTGCCCGGCATCAGATTCACGGAGTGCCGCTCCGCTAACCGCTCCGTTAAGTGGCCTCAAAGCATGCGCGCCGGCATTGCTTGGTCGCTCCGGTTAGCGGAGCGCCGCTCCACAACTTGACTCCGTGCCGATTGCGTCATTCCAATTGGCGGAACGCCGCTCCGGTAATTGGTTTCGAACCAATTGGTTACAGTTGCCTCGCTCCCATTAGCGGAGCGGCGCTCCGCGAATTGGCCCCGAACAAGGGTGGTACGACTGTTTCGATCCCAGTAGCGAAGCGCCGCTCCGCCAATTGACCTCCAACCAGAAAGTTGCGATTGCTTCGTTCCCAGTAGGGGAACGCCGCTCCGCGAACTGGCTACAAACCAAGGGAATACGATTGCTTTGCTCTCGAACCAAGGGATTTCGATCGTTTCCCTCCCATTTGCGGAGCGCCGCTCCGTGCCTTAGCCTCGAACCAAAATAATTACGACTGCTGTCATTCAATTCGCGAAACTCCGCTCCGCTAACTCTTCGACGCCCGACATGAATACGGCCAAAATTGGTACAATTCCCAAACACAAAGCTTGTCCAAAACCGTCAGCGGCCGCTGTCGGACAGGCGGCCTTCTGTCTCAGATAGACAAATCCCCCTGCGACGCCAACAGCGAGTCCTTCTCAAAATGAGCAGGAGCTGCGGTCGGTCTTTGTGCCCATTTGTTCCATACCCATTTCGACCGACCCTAATTATTGGCCCCCGAACCAGAGGACTATGAAATGCTTCGCTCCCCTTGGGGAAGCGAGGCCCCGCTAAGTGGCCGCAAGCCACATGGGATTGGCAGGTCACGCTGCTCCCACTTAGCGGTCCGCCGCTACGCCAAGTGGCCTCAAAAACCCAAAAGGGTGTCGATTGCTTCGCTCTACTTCGCGGAGCGTTGCTCCGCTACTTGGCGACAAGACAAAGGGATGAGGATCGCTCCGATCTTATTGGGCCAAGATGCTCCTCGTTGGTCCTCGCCCCCCCCCCCCAGAAAATCCCACCAGCCCTCTGGGCGTAGGTGGTCTAGAACAGATCCTCTTCCACCCCTCCCTCTTCCCCCTTGGGGAGGGGTTTACCCCTCCCCCTACCCCCTCCCCTGGACCTGGACGGGGGGGGCCGCGGGTAGTTAGAGCGTCCGGAAGCGAAAAGGCGAGAAAGCAAAAATCATTGATTTTCCTTAGGTTTTGGGACGATTTTGGCCTCTTCGGGGCTTCCGAGGGGGGGCGCTAATTGAACCCCCCCTCTTGTTTGATCGATCTCTTCCAAGATGGCCCCAAGAAGCGCCCAGGAAGCCCCGAGAGGTCCCAAGATGGCCCCAAAATGGCCCCAAGAGGCCCCCAAGAGGCCCCCCGGAGGCCCCCAAGAGACCCCCAAGAGGCCCCAAGAGCCCCCCCAGATGCACCCAAGATGCTCCAAGAGGCCTCGGCGAGAATGCCTAATCATTGATTCTACACAGGTTTTAGCCACATGGAGGCCTCTTGGGGGGGGGCACGGATTAAGATGACTCCAAGAGCGTCTGGGAGAGCCCAAAATGACCTCCAAGATGGCTCAAGATATCCCAAGATGTCTCATAATGGCTTCCTCTGTGTGCTGCCCACTTCTCTGATCGAGGCAATTCCTCTGGGCATCGTTACTGGATGGGCTGGTGGGGATTCGCGAAGCGACAACAATCCTCCTCCATCCCTCCGGTGGGTTTGCGTCCCACTGCGTCTACAAGGCATGTGTCAAATCACACGTCTGGCCGGCGATGTTTTGGGGCGGTGTGCCACCAGCCTCCTAACCAGACAACGCAAGATCCATCAGGGATGGGAGGGTGGGAAATTTCGCAACCCCACGACTTGGACTCAAACCATAGAATTACGACAGGGGATCACGACTGCGTCGATCCCATGCGCGGAGCGCCGCTCCGCTGACTGCGCCCAAGCCGAAGGACTGCGATTGCTTGTCTCGCATTAGCGGAGCGCTGGCCCGGAATGCTGACCCGATGGTTGAAGCCAATTATCGGAGCGGCGCTCCGCTAGTGGGAGCGAAGCAGTGGTAATCCCTTGGCTGGAAGCCATTTAGCGGAGCGCCGCCCAGCCAATGAGAGTGATGCAAACTCGGTGCGCATGTTTGCGGCCAAGACGCGGGATGGGCCGACGGCCACCAAATAGCACAGAGGCCTCCCGTCGTGATCTCTTGGCGACGCGAGGGGGTCTGCAGAGGATGGCGAGGGCGGAACCAGCAGGTCGTAGTTGAGCTTGCTGTGGTCCATGCTCAGCAGCACCTCCCGGCGGGGAGGAGGCAGGCCCGGGCGCCTGCGACCGGCGCCGAGCCGCTCTCACTGGGGACGGCGCTCCAGCCCCACACCTCCGCCTGCGCCCCAAGGCGGCGCTCCAGCCGACACCCGAAAGGCGCCGATAGAGCGGCACCCCGAAGGCAGAAGGCTGCACTCGTAGGCTCTGGTCCGCGCGCTGCCCGCCCGAGAACGCGGGGCGGGACCCCCAGGGAGCAGCAGCACGCGCCGGGCTCGGCGGCCGCGGCACGCAGCCGTCGTTCGTCCGAGGCGAGAGGGCGGGAGGCAGCACTCCCTGGGCCGGGTAGCCGCGGTGTGCAGGGTGTGCGGGACGGGTCGGGAGCTCTTGTCCGTGGGTCCAGCAAGGCCCGCCTGTCGTGTGGGACATGACGCCTCGACCACTGCCTCCAAGAGGGTCCCAGGAGACGCCCGAAAGGGCACCCGGCGAGTTCCTGAGAGAGTGGCCTCAGAAAAGGAAAGCTCGCTGGGGGCCCGATGCTTTCGAGACGATCCCACCGGAGAAGCTGCATGGAGCCCCAGGAAGCCCGCTGCCCAGGACGGGGGCCCAGGACGTCCCAGGATCGCTTCGAGACGGCTCCAAGACGCCCCAGAGGAGGAGGAGGAAAAGGAGGAGACGGAAAAGGAGGTTGAAGAGGAGGATGAGGAGGGGGAGGGGGAGGGAGAGGAGGAGGCGGAGGAGGAGGAGGGGGAGGGGGAGGCGGAGGAGGAGGAGGAGGAGGAGGAGGAGGAGGAGGGGAGGAGGGGGGAGGAGAGGGGAGGAGGAGGAGGAGGAGGAGGAGGAGGAGGAGGACCACAACCCGCACAGACGTCCACAGTATGGATCAACGGAGCTTCCTCGGGAGAGATCGGTAGAACGTTGCGCCAAAGATGGGCCCGAGACTCCCGAAGGGCCCAAGCAGACCCTCGATAGGACCCAAGAGGCGACCAAAAAGTCGGCCTCAAATACGCCCCCGATGAGCCAAAGTCTGTAAGAGGCCAGAAGGGAGAGGAGAACAAGAATGGTGAGAGGAGGGAATCAGGAGCAGACCAAGGTTGTGGCAAATAATTGAGGTGATTGAGACCCACGCTAGTTCAGGCAAGGCGCCGAACTGCAGCGGGACTTCAACGCAACCTCATCCCTGCTGCGCTGCTGGACTGGAACGGCGGCGAGGTTGTCGCAGAAGCTAATACTAGAACAAGTAGATAAGACAGAGAGAGAGCGTGTGTGTATAATACTAACTATGGTTACGCACATGTGTATGCACATGTATGTATGTGCTGCGTGGTGTGCATATAAGGTGTATAAGTGCATGTGTGTATGTATGTATGTATGTGTATATGTATGTATGCATACATGTATGTATAGATGTACGTGTGGATGTACGTGTGTATGTATGTGTGGGGTTGTGTGTACGTGTATGGGTGGATGTATGTGTGTATGTATGTGTGTACGTATGGCAGTATGTCTGCATGTGTGTATGATTGTGTGTATTGCTGGTGTATGTATATATCGCTGTATACATGCGTGTAAATACGTATGCATACGTGTACGTGTAATGCATGTATGTATGCATATATGGGGGGTATGTATGTATGCAGCTCTGCATGAATGCATGTATGTGTGAATACATGTGTGTATGTTTGTATGTACGTGCGTACGTGCATAGGTATGGGTGCATGCATGCGTATGTATGCGTGTATGCATGTATGCATGCATGTGTGTATGCGTACATGCGTATACGTGCGTGTACGTATGTGTATGTATATGTGTAGATAGGTGTGTATACATGCAACAGTGCCTTTGTATGTACATACGTATGTACGCAGACATGCATGTATGTGTGTGCAGATGTGGACGTACGTATGTATGTATGTATGTATTTATGTATGTATGTATGTATGTGTGTATGTATGTATGTACGCAGGCATGTGTGTATGTATGTATGTAGGTATGCACTCATGCACGCATGTGAGTAGATGTATATGCATGTCTGTATGCATGTGTGTGTGCATGCACATATGCATGTGTGCATGTATGGATGTGTGAACGTGTGTATGTATGTATATATACATACATGTATATATGTATGTGTGTATGTAGGTATGCATGTACGTGTGTGTATATGTGAATGTATGTATACATGCATGCATGCATGCGTGTATGCATGTGTGTATGCATGCATGTGTGTATGTATGTGTGTATGGATGTATGTATGTATGTGCGTATGTATGTATGTATGTATGTATGTATGTATGTATGTATATATGGATGTATGTATGTGTATGTATGTGTGTATGTATGTATGTGTGTATGTATGTATGAATGTGTGTATGTTTGCATGTATGTATGTATGTATGTATGTATGTATGTGTGTATGTATGTATGTATGTACGTACGTACGTACGTATGTATGCATGCATGCATGCATGTATGTATGTATGTATGTATGTATGTATGTATGTATGTAGACATGTGTATGTATGTATTGTTGCATAATTTCGTGATTGTATACATGTATGCGAACATGCATGTATGCATGTATGTATGTATGTATGTATGTAGAGTTATATGCATGTATGCATATGTGTATTTGTATGTGCATATTTATACGCATACGTATATGTGTATATACATATACACATATACACATGTACGCGAGCCCTCGCTTGCTGGGTGTAAAGGCGTGTGAGATGATTGGCTGTCCGCCTCCCTTTCCCCCCCCCCCTGGGGCCAAAAAGCGCATCAGAGAAGGGGGGGGCCCTGGGGGGCACGAGCTCGTCAATGCACCCTAGGGGATCTCTGGAGCATCCAGAGAGCCCAACGACAGCCCAACGAGCGCCGAGACAGTCCAAGAGAGCGTCGAGACGTCCAAGGGTAACGCCGCCACGGTCCAAGATGGTTACAGGACGGCCTGCGAGGCCCCCAAGAGGCACACATCGTCCCAATCCCGTTGGACAACGCATGTTTTCGACAGCGTCCACTACAGCCCAAGGAGCCACCAAGATCGTCCCGAGACGGCCCATGGGGTCCCAAAGGAGGCCACATGAGGGCCCCATAGAGCCCCAGCCCCAGGGCCCCTGAGACGGCCCAGGAGGGCCGCACGAGAGGCCCATCTCGAGTCCTTCCCGCCACGAGGGACCTCCCAGTGACCCCCGGGGCGCCCTCAAGAGGCCAAAGAGGCACCCAAGACGCACCCAAGAGGCCCCCGAGAGGCCACAAAGAGCCAACCAGATGCCCCCCCAAGAGCCCTCCAAGAGGCCCCCGAGAGGCTCCAGGGAGACCCTCACAAGGGCTCCTGACCCACAGGCCAGGCACGGTGGTACACACCTCTTGAGGAAGTCGCTGTCATGGGGGCCGGCGGAATGGCATAAACCTCCTTAATGAGGGAGAGGGAGAGAGAGAGAGAGAGAGAGAAAACAAAAAAAGAGAGAGAGAGAGAGAGGGATACAGAAAGAGAGAGAGAGAGAGAGAGCGCGCTGTGCCTCAGGCGATGCTCGAGAGACGCGCCAGGGTCTCAAAAACGGCCCCTGGAGGGCAAAGCATCCTTCCCACCAATCAGGCTTCGCCACAAGAGAGACAACACAACTGCATAAAGACAAGATGATTTCTCTGAGATCCGCGCGGGTTTCTCGGATGGGCGCTGGACCACAATCCCTGGCGCTCGACGCGCCACGCGCCCGGGGACAGAGCCGGCAGGCGCCGCAAGAGGGGCGCATCGCCCATCCAAGAATCCGCGCGGACCTCCGAGAAATCATGCTCATGCGGTCTTTGTTCTTCGGGGGCCGCGGGGATCTGGGAAGCGCCGTGCTGCCCTGCGCCGCCTCGCAGGCCCTGCGCTGTGGCAGAGCCGACGGGCAGCTCCCGGCGGCGCGCAGAAAGGCGGCCGGCGGCGGCGAGGGGGGGGGAGGGGGCGGAGGACGGGGGGCACCTCCGCAGCCTGCTCTCCTTCGACGGGGGGCCACCCCTCGCGCCCCCTCGTGTCCGTGCGCCGCCAGCTTGGAGGTTGTGCTCACGCGAGGGGTTCGGCAGCATTGCGGGTCGCAGCTCTGCTCTCTCAGCGCCAGACGTGCCCGGAGGCCCTGAAAAAGGCTGGGGCCGTCCTCAGACGATTCCATTCTCGATCTCGACGGCGACCGACGACGACGACGAAGACGACGACGACGAAGACGACGACGACGACGACGACGACGACGACAACGACGACGACGACGGCGACAAATGGCGGCGGCGGCGGGAACGACGACGTCGAGAGGCTCGGGCGAAGGGGCGAGGGAAGGGAGAGCGGGAAGACACGACCACGGCGACGATGACGACGGCAGCGACCACGACGACGACGACGACGAGGACGACGACGGCGACGGCGACATCGACGACGACGACCACGACGACGACCACCACGACGGCGACGATGACGACGACAGCGGCGACGACGACGACGACGACGACGGCGGCGACGAAGGCGACGACGACTCGGCTGCACGCAAGAGTGAACCCAGGCAGGAGTGAACTTTGGTGCGCGGCTTCAGGGGGCCGCAGGGGGCCGAATCTGATCCCCCGGGCCAGTGCAGGGGGCGCCCCTGTGGGCCAGCACCAGCCGTCACTCCGGCGAAGGGTCACCCTTACGCGTAGCCTACCAACCCAGAGATCCGCCAATACGTTACTTCAATCCGAGGGTCGCAAAGTCTGGATCACTTCCACGTGGGTACTTGTGCGTCCCCGATACATGTTTGATGGATCCAATAACGAGCACCAGGGGCTGAAATCGAAAGCACCCGAATTCGAAACAGGCATCGGAGATCTGGGGATGGCGACGGCGACGCTGACGGCGGCGACGCTGGCGACGGCGGCGACGTCGGCGAAGACGACGGCGACGACGGCGGCGACGACGACGGCGACGGCGACGACGGCGGCGACGATGACAGCGACGGCGACGGCGAAGACGGCGGCGACGGCGACGACGCCGGGACCCTCGACCGCGGAGGGAGGCCCTGCGAGAGGCACCAGAGAGCCACCCCGTCGCGGGCGGGGGAGGCGCGCCTCCTGGGTGGACCTGGAGTAGCCAGCGGCCTCCTCGCGTTGGGGCGGGAGCGACATCAAGGGGGGCACTAAGCCGCATAGAAGGAAGGGGCGACTGAGCCGGATACAAAGGGCCACCATGCCCCGGACCGGGCAGGATTAGGCCCAAGATGTCTCGCCCGATGGAGCCGGGTTGAATCCGATTGCAAGGGATTGGGTGAGATTATGCTGGAGGAGGCCTGTTTTCGACCACGGATATACCTGCGCCGATGCTGACTTAAACCTACCAGGAGCTGCATCATCACGAAGATGAAGCTCAGGAGGAGGAGGAGCAGGAGCAGGAGGCTCCGGAGGCTCGAGATGACAGCGAGGTGTTCGGAAAGCGAGGCAACAGGCCGACGGAGGAGGAAGAGGCAGAACAAAAGAAGGACAAGAAGGTCGAGAGCGGGAGAAGAAGAAGAAGAACGAGAAGAAGGGCAGCCTCTGGGAGAGGGGGGGCGTATTGAGAGGAGAAGAGGGGCCATGAAGTCGGAGAGGTCTCATGGCCCCGGCGATGATATCCACACACACACACACCCCTAATTCTTCCGGTGGCAGCTCATTGGAGCCTCCCATACCATCTTGCCAGCTCTTGCGAATCGACGCTGAATCGACGCTAGTCGACGCTAAATCGATGCTAATCGACGCCAGCCGACGCTAAATCGGCGCTATCTCATCGACCCCAAACGCTAATCGACGCTAATCAACGCTGGGGAAACAAGGCTCCTATGATTTGCCGCCCAAAGTTCTCACACACTTCTTGGATGCACCCGGCTCAGGGGGGGGATCCTCCTCCGCTTCCGCCTCATCCTCACTGCCGATCCCGCTCGCGCAACCCTGCCTTCACCTACCCCGCTCCTCGAAGATGTGCTCTTTTCTCCAGTCTGGCCCGTTTCTTTTTTCGATTCTGCGAAGCGGGGATTTATCCATATCCACTGCCTGGGAACCGACGTCCTGGTGCCCTAACGGGCGGTGGATATGGATATATTTCGACTCCCGGGGGCCCGAATATGTCCACATCCACCGCCTGCCGAGGCTCCGAAAACTGACCCTCCAGGCGGTGGTCGTGTATATACATTCCCGCCTCGGAGATTCGGCCCGGAACCCGTGTGTGTCATCATCTTGCGACAACGCCTGCGACAGGCCCCGCTCCCCTCGCCCCCCCCCTCCCCCCCGTGGTCGCGTCGCGATGCGCGGCGGCGCTGTCTCGGAATCCCACCAGCCCTCTGGGCTGGGTGGTCCAGCCGAGCTCCCTGCCACAGCCCCCTCCTTTCCCTGCTCGGGGGAGGAGCTGAACACTGCCCCCCACAGTCGGACTGGATTGGAGGGGACACGCGAGAGGACACAAGACCCTTCCGAGGACCACGTTGCCATAGGAATGTAGGAGGCATGGGTCACGAAATGCAAGACACAACGGTACCCTTGATTTGGCAGGGTCGACCTACTAATCGAGGCCGACTGTAGTACCTCACACCCCCTCACCCAAGCGCCCGCCAGCCGACCCGGAACAATGCCGACCACCATGATCACGCACACACCCACCATCCCAGTCCAAAAACAGCCCAGAACACACACACGCACACCATGCCTGCAACTTCGGAGCATGCGCAGCCAACCCGATGTGGGCACCCCCAACATTCTCTGAACAAAACACTACACAGTACACGTTGGGGCAAACTCTTGAATCATGATCGTGAGGCCCGCAAACACTTTGTAGTATGTTTTATAATGACGGCGGGGATGTCAACATATTCCCTACCGTGCGCAAGGCCACCATCCGTGTCAACGAACCTATACAAAATACCGCAAGGCCACCATCCGTGACGAAAAAACAATACAAACAAACACACACACACACACACACACACACACACACACACGCGCACACACATTCACACACACACATACATCGCGGCTAAATATGGATCATGCGTGGCCACCCCGCGACCACTGTCAAGTGGTTCTGGACAGGGACGGCGGGGATGGTAGCGTATAGTCTGCTTGCTGTGCGCAGGCCCACCAGACACATTGATGAACATTGGTGTTTGACAAAGATGGTGGGTGCCGACATGTTTCCCGATGTGTGCTGTCACGTGGTGCGCAGGCGCACCTGAGACACTCTGCACGTGCCCCGAATGTGGCGCACCTGGCGCAGCTGGAGTATGCGGCACACCTGACGCCTTGGAGCACGTGGCGCATCTGGCGCACCAGGCGTGCCTGGCACGCTCGGGCCCCAAGGGCGCCTGGCGTGTGTGGCGCGCCTGGCGCGCGTGGCGCACCTCGCCACTGCGTCGCGCACACGGGTTCGGTGTTGGTTCCCGATAAATGTCCGTCCTAAGGTGACCGCTAAACATGCTGAGGCCCGGGTGTTACGTATGTGTTGGGAGATCGGGTGGGAGTGAGCTAGACGGCTTGCTATCTAGGAGGGTGTCTTGACCCCTCCCCCTACCCCCTTTTCCTGGGCCTGGGAGGGGGGGGGGGGCGGCGCGGGTAGTTAGAGCGCCCAAGATGGCCCGAGGTGTCTCCAAGAGGGCCTCAGAGAGACCAAGCTGGCCTCAAGATGGTTCAAGATAGCCTCCAACACACAACCAAGAGGCTTCAAGACGGTCTCAACTGCCCGCCGAGCCCTCCAAGGACCCCCCCAAGAAGCCACAAT